GGGCTGTCGATCTTAAGAGACTTATGAAAAACATTTTCCAGCTACCAGAGAAAGAAAGACTGTATTGTTGACTTGAATATGTTGACACAAATTAAGAGACTTTTCCTTATTTCTCCGCTGAAATGATTAGAACATTCTAACACGACCGGAAGTGTTTTTTTTTTTTTTTTTTGCTGTAATCTTTAAATAATAATGGCACTATACTCTATCTGTAATGTCCCTAATTCAAGTGTTTTTCATGTATGTTAATGCAGTGAATGGGAGGTCGTCTCCAGAGATCTGGACTCACTACTGCGCAGTGTTTCGGCTTCGGACTATAGTGTAATGTTACTCCATCTGAAAAGAAACCCATTCAAGTAGCTTGTTCTTCACAGCAGCTTTTCTTCAGACAGAGAATTGTACCCACAACCTCTTCTTTCTCCCTCTTGTTTGCTGAAGGGTCATTGATGTGGGTGTGTTTTTGCAGAGCCCGGCGTCACACAAAGAGAAACTGCTCCAGCTATAGTAACAGCTGGGTTTGTGAGGCTGTCGCAATTAGAGAGAAAGAGGTGTAAAATGAATAGACTTACACTAATGACTATAGGGCATCAATTACATTCATGCTGTTGAATCCAAAACATCAATTAACTACAAGAAAGTCAACTAACAAAATATAAATCTTTTTTTAAAACCTTTTACCAAAATATTGTCTTACTAATTTTTGAAGCAATTATTCTTAAGAAAAAAACAAACATTACACAGATTTAAATTATATACAGTTTTTAAAGCTACATCATTTCAGCATAGATCATTATTATTAATTTTAACCGTCAAGGCCATAAAAGGTCCTTGCATTCAAACAGATGTTGACCAGTGTTCCCCATAGATTTCGTGAAGACTATGGTGGCACAAATAGTTTTTATTTGAATAATGTCATTCAAATTGTGGAGTAAAAATATCACTTACTGCCTGTATTTACATGTTAAGCTGTCATTTGTCACCAGTGTACTTAGAGGTTTATGCAAATACAATGAGCAATAATGGCTCATTTTGTTATCCTGATATATAGTCCAGTTTATTTTAGACTCTTTGGGGGATAACCTTTGTCTCCTGTATTAATGAAAAATACTCAAGTCCATACTTAAAGATATTCCTCTCTATGTTTGATGAAGACTTTGTGATGATGGAAACATGACATCATTCCACTGTTACCTTTAATTCGCTCAAAGATGACACACCCTCTGACTCATGGTTCTCCAGCCCACTACAGAATACAGATTATCCTTTCATACAGCTGTGCCCAGTGAAACGTGAGCCCCCCCCCATTTGAGCTCAAATGATGCGATTGAATATCTGATCGATTCACGATGTTATGACGGGCAGGCAAATACCCTAAGTGCATGCACTCAGCAGCCTACATCACCACTACACAGGGCTATATAAATCTATGGTGTCATCTGCCCCACACTAATGCAGTGAAATTGACCTTTCAGTGTTGAGTGTACCACCTGTCCACAGAAGCCGCAGGGACATCAGTTATGTTGTGTGTACTGTGATGACTGTAACTAACTACAGATGTATGGAGAAGGCCGAGCGCACTCAGCTGCCATATTTGTAACATATGGTGGAGTTGACTTGTACAATACTGTGTTAATCTGTTAAATACGTCATTTGCAATGGCTACTGCGCTTGACTTTGGGAATGAGAGGCAGGACATCGTAACAAATTCAACATTGTGTCCCCATAAACCAATCAACAACATGACCAAAGTTTTACTATATTTTATTGTGTCCATTTTTACAGGATCTTTCATAAATTCTGCATTTAGTATTCATGTTTCTAGGTTATTGATTGTCACAGGATATATGTAAATGTGTGTCTATAAATGGTAGTGGACATTATAAAGTATATAGAGTGTCAGTGTTGTTAAAGATTTTTTATATCAATTGTATTATTCATAAAAAAACAAAAAAACATAACTGCACGAAATATATTGCAAGCATAATTTCTTAATCCACTGTCCCAATTTTTGGCATGCCACCCAAGTCTGTTTTGCGATGCTTTCTTGTTCTATATCTGGGTCAAAACCACAGATCCTCTATGATGAGATTGTATTACTTTACATTGTAGAAAATAAAGGGCAGATTTTCCCTGAGCTGCATCTTTTTTCAATCTGTCAAGACTGAAAAGACTCCACCCTGCATCACAACTACCGACTTAAGTTTCCTCAACAAACATGAATTAACACACAAGGGCGTTTGCTCTGACTGCTCTTGTATTTGACGAGCAGTTAGCCAGCAGAGAGCAGAAGGATGCGTCCTCCTTCAAACCCACCCCCTCCCCAAATAAAGTGACAAATTGCCCCCCCGCCTGTCCTCTGCTCACCCCAACTGCCCCTCCCCCACCTGTCACACACTCTTTACATTTCGGGGGGAGGGATTGGCATGTATCTGTGCTGATGGGGCAGTCAGCTTTATGTAAATGACTGAGTTAGTATCAAGTACGGTGGCCCTGAAGGACAAGTACCCCTGCTTCAAGTCACAGACCTAAGACAAAACAGACGTAATTAACAAATTTTGAGTCAATCAAACGTATTGTAAATAGTTAAAGGTGTAATAATGACTAATAATAGCTATTCTCACAATTAATACTACTCTTATCCACCAGTACGCACTTTGGGGAAGTAAGTGATAGGGCTGGCCACTTGCTGGGTTTCAGATGACATCACAACAGTCACAAAGTCAGTAATATTTTATTAGAGATAGGAGGCAGCTGAAATGAATAGAATATTGTTAAAATGTAGATTAAAGCAAGTTCTAGTCTAGTCACTAGTAGAAATGATCAGGATCAACATGTGGGAATTGTCCTTTTGGATATTTCTTGTGAGAATACCAAGCAATCAATAGGGAAAACTGGCCCTTCCCCCATCTTAGAGTATGACAACATCACATTTTAGTATCTGAAAGGCCTGTCATGATAACAAAATTCAAAGTACAATATATTGTTGAAGAAAATATAGATGATAAATGATAATATTGAAATGAACTTATTCCAGTGTAACAAAAAGTAGAATTATCTCCCCTAAAACTATTATTAAAAACATAAGCTGCCATAAAAATAACAGCATGAATCTCTTAGTACTCACAGTAGTAGTTATTTACAGCATATAATGTGTCGTATGTCATCTGTAGCTGACATTTAATCAGAAAAATACAGAAACATATTCATAAATACAGAAAAATAAAGAATAGTTCTACTAGTGCAAAGAAAAAGTACCCATGGTAAATACTGACCTTCAAAAATTATAGTTTCAACTATGATTTATTGAACAATAAGTCTATATGGTAATTCTCTTGACAGGCCTACATGTCCAGCCACTTCGGTGTATTGTGGTGCTTTATTTGGCCAGTGCAGCTCAGGTTCATGTGGGTTTACAGTGTTTTCTTTTGTTACAATATACCACACTAACATGAATTTGTTTTTAAAATATTAGACTTTGCATAATATTTTAATATGTTTGTCTAATTTACATATTTTTTTTAAATAAAACTGACCTTACCTCCTTTTACTCTGTACAGAAGATTTTGATCAATGTTTTTATTAGAGCAGACCTATCAAGCAAAATCGACTTTTTGGAATTTTTAATCGTGCTATAGCTGTTTCCCCTTCTCCTTTACCCTCTTGAAGCTGGATTTGGATTGATTTACGCATGTTTGAGTAATCTTTAATCGCTTACAATCTCCAATTCTTTTTTCTTAATCGGTGATGCACATAAAATTCGGCAGCAGATTTATTTCTAATATTGCAATATTAAATGTCCAAATTGTAACATAATGATCCATGTGTGTCGTAGATTATAACTATATAACGGGCTTAGGCACAAAACGTGTTCTTTGTATTATAATCTTTGAATGACAACGGTCTTCTTAACCAACTGACATCACTGTTTAACTCCACAAACATTGCACAAAGCGCTGAACTTGAACTGTATACTGCTGATTCGTATTTGCATTTTAACTGATGTCCCGGCGCCTCTTGGCTCTGATCGAATGAGTAGAAGCATTATTGTACCTCTTTGTGGGTGTGAGAACAGTCAGATTATATACTTCCGCTGGAGCTGTGTGTCAGTCAATCGCAGCAGTCGCCATAGTTACACAAAAGCCCCTGTCAGTCTGAGTTTGGGGGTCCAGGGGGGCGGAACAGGAGGGAGAGAGGGGGTAATGATGATGATGGTGATGATTATAGAGATGGGGGGATTATTGGGAAAAGGGGGCCACAGTTGTTTTTTGGGCTCATCTCCTGAACTGTCAGACCTCATACGCTCCACTGACCTCTTTGTGCAAACAGAGGATGTGACACACTTTGAAGTCACTGCTGTGTTATTGTCTTAAGATAAACTGGACAAGTGCATCAGATAACAGGACATGCTTTCAAAACACGTCTCCAATTCAAAACTATTGCGATATCTCCGAAACTAGTCCAGAGGAGTTTTGCATTTTATTCAATGATTAAATAAATGATCAACTAGTATTTTTATTTTAGTACTTTAGGTCTTTGGAAAACTACTTTGAGAAACCTCTGCTCATATTGTTGGAATCTAACAAAAGTGTACAGTTTTCCTGTATCTGCCATTAAACATTTATCTGAATTTTACAATGAAGGCACATTTGTTGTTGCTTAAATTATTACCTGCCATTGTGTCAGTCAGTAGAATGATAAATGAAACTGGATACAAATTTAAAGAACTTATGATGCAGAAAAAAATCATAGGACATTTCCTGAATAGTTTTACAACTGTTTTGAACTTAAATAAGACCATCTGATGAGTATTAAAAAGGCTACTATTAGTTTGTGTTGAAAAATAACACATATTATTGTGGTATTGAGCACTGAGCCTTTTCCTGTTTATCAAAATCTAGATTTAAATGTTAGTTGTTTTTTTTTTTTTTTGCCAAACTCTGAATGTTTCCATAGTTCCCATGTTTCTAATTTTGACCTGTGCGTTTCCTGTCTTTCTGCAGCCTTTCCACCCCATGGTGAACCTGCAGTGCTCCCCCGACCTGCGCATGTTCCTGTGTGCTCTTTACTCTCCTGTGTGCACGGAGTACGGACGCATGACGTTGCCGTGCCGACGCCTCTGCCTGCAGGCCAAGAGTGACTGCTACAAACTCATGGAGATGTTCGGGGTTGGATGGCCTGAGGAAATGGACTGTAACAGGTCAGTGTAGAGTCAGTTAAAGGTGTACTGCATAACTTTTCTAGTGGAGGGTACTCGATGTACTTGTTTGCCTCTATAATGTTGCTGCTTTTTCTATAGTATTCCACAGTCTGACATAAAATGAAACTAATTTGCATTTCTGTTCCAAAATACCTTGAAAAACCTGCCTTACTGTGAGTGGGGTCATCTCCACATATCTGACTTGTAACTTGGCTTTGTCTCCGTTGAGATAATTAAGTTTAATACCTCACTGTGTAACATTTCAGACGATGCAAAAACATCTCCACAGAGACAAGCAGTTACCAGAAAAGTTTGTTCTAATCACTTCCAATAGAATAAAAATGGTGACCAACAATGTTAGTATTTAGCTCTTTCTCTGTCTTTCTTCTTCTTGTAGGTTCCCAGACTGTGATGACCCATACCCCCGTCCCGTTGACCTTCTCTCCATCTCGGACACCACAGAGTCCCCCATCTCTGTCCAGAGAGACTATGGTTTCTGGTGCCCGCGGGAGCTGAAAATCGACCCCGAGCTCAGCTACTCTTTCATGGGTGTGAAGGACTGCTCCCCTCCCTGTCCCAACATGTACTTCACCCGCGAGGAGCTGACGTTTGCCCGCTACTTCATCGGCGTGGTGTCCATCGTGTGCCTGTCCGCCACGCTCTTCACCTTCCTCACCTTCCTCATCGACGTGTCTAGGTTCCGTTACCCTGAGCGACCAATTATCTTCTACGCCGTGTGCTACATGATGGTGTCTCTGGTGTTCTTCTTGGGGTTTCTGCTGGAGGACAAAGTGGCCTGTAACGCAGCTGTCCCAGGACGCTTCAGAGCTGCCACTGTCACTCAGGGGTCACATAATAAGGTACACTGTCCAATAGTCTGTGCAATATACCCAGTGTTTCCAGCAGGTTTTTACTAAAACTATGGTGACACAACTGAATTTTAAAAATTTAATACAAAATTTTTGTATATAAATGTCACTTATTGCCTCTACTGAACAGAAAAGCACTATGATGACGATTGATTATGCTTGTAGTGTTATTATAAAGATATAGAGTAAAGTATGTTTTACCAGTTTTTTGCTTTAGTTTTTAGACTACGGAGGTAAAAATTGGACTATGCGGCCACCATAGTCTCTTCTATTAATGGAATTAATGGAACATGGATAATGGAACATTACGGTAACAGATTGCTGTGAAACTCCACTAGGACAAAAGCTATTGCTCTAAATGACTGTGCAAATGAATACTGAGTAATGAACAATGAAGAACTATTGATGATCTTCTACACAGTCAATTTCAATGTCAGTAAAATAAACTTCATACTTGCTACTTCAGTACAACTATGCAAAAACAAATCCTTCAAAATATTTAAGATGCACAATAGACAAACAATTTCTTCAAATCTACCAGTAAGTGAACTTATTATTACGCCCAAAAGTTCTATATTAAGCCTACCAGAACCATGTACATTTTTTTTTTTAGTAAATTTATTTCATTGTAAAAAGGTCAGATCAGTGGAGAGGTGACAACACATGTTTTACGACTGCAAGATAGATTTGTTTAATGCCATACCATGAAACATTTTTGAGGTCCTCCACCTGCTGAGACAAGCAGCTGGATCTTAATCTGTCTTAAAAGTATTAGCTACAATATCATGTAGCCTACATGTCGTGCTGTTTCTAAAAGTATTTCTCATTTTGTTTTTCCAGGCCTGCACGCTCCTCTTCATGGTGCTGTACTTCTTCACGATGGCGGGCAGCGTGTGGTGGGTCATCCTCACCATCACCTGGTTCCTGGCAGCTGTTCCCAAATGGGGCAGTGAGGCCATAGAGAAGAAGGCTCTGCTGTTCCACGCCTGCGCCTGGGGCCTCCCTGGGGTGCTGACGGTCGCACTTCTCGCCATGAACAAGATCGAGGGCGACAGCGTGAGCGGCGTCTGCTTCGTGGGGCTCTACAACCTCAACACTCTGCGCTGGTTCCTGCTTGTGCCCCTCGGACTGGACGTAGTGGTGAGATTTGGATAACATGAACAAAAATTTAATAAAATTTAAATTGACCTTAGTATTGAACTGTAACTTACATTACATTCATAAACCTGAATATTGATCAATAATAGAAACGGGTCTACTGATTTCACCTTTTCATAGTGGCATTTCACCTTAGCAAACAGCAGATTCTCATTTACGGGTTTTTATTGTAAAAAAAAAAAAGTAACCCTCCACTTACCCTCCACTTGTGAGCCTGACTTTGAATAAATACAGAGCAAGTGGTGGAGAGAAAACAGACATTTTCAGAGAGCTCAGATCTCAAATTGAGAGATTATGTCATACTCCCAGTTTTTCCTTGCATTTTCATTGCACTTAACCATGAAATATCTAAAACATAAATTCAAAAATGTTGAACCTGATAATTTCTATCAGTGTCTAGTAGGGGTGTAATGATATCCAAGTCTCACGATATGATATCATCACGGTGTGAAGCTCACGGTTCGATATTTATTGCGATATCGTGGGAAATCTCCCGATATGGTGGGGAGGCTCACGATTAGAGATGAAACAATATCCAAATCTCTCTGTATACTTTCGCAATATACATCTCACTGTACGATATTTATTGCAATATTTTGTGGAGGCCAACAAAACTACTAATATGCTACTTTTTCCTCTTAATGCCTTGACAAGACTTAATCCAAAGAACTAAGACTTAAAAGTGCTTAGAACTGTTATTTCTTCTTGTAATCTACACTGAAATGGAGCAAAGGATCATGGTCTATGTTGTTCCCTCTGTCTTTTTTTAGCTATTGCTGCACCATAACTTTTAATTTAAGCAAAGAAACTTGTAATTCAATATATTGTGATTGTTCATGATATTATTGTGTTGTGTTGTTACATCCCTAGTGTCTAGACCCAAGAACTCACTGAATGCCAACAAAAATCTGCATTTTAACAATACTAATTTTAGCTGCCCCCCATCTGTATTAAATAACATCAGTCTATAGAATGTTGTGGCGTTATCTGAAACCCACCAGTTGTTCCTACATTATTGCGGTCTACATTACAACACATACTGAAAGTTCATGTTTCTCTCTGTCAGGTGGGCGTGGCGTTGCTTCTGGCCGGTATCGCAGCACTGAACAGGGTGCGGATGGAGATCCCTCTGGAGAAGGAAAACCAGGAGAAGCTGGTGAAGTTCATGATCAGGATCGGCGTGTTCTCGGTCCTATACCTGGTGCCTTTGCTCACTGTGCTGGCCTGTTACCTCTATGAGAACAGCTACAGGAGCGTCTGGGAGACCACCTGGGTGCAGGAGAGGTGCAGGGACTATCACATCCCCTGTCCATACCAGGTAACCACAAGCAAAATGAATATATAACAATCCAGATGAGGTTAACACAATGGTTATCTGTGAATACACTGGATTAGGCCGGTCTCAATAACACATTTTGAAGCACGATATATTGCTACAGAGAAAATGATATTATTGAAACTACTTTATGCCACTAACACAAAGCAAGATAAGCCCATATTCTGTATCATTAAAAGACAGGAGCTGCAGCAAATAAATAGCAGAATAGCAAAAACCTATAATTAGCGATATACATTTTCTGTTCTACTCTCTACAGCTCAAATTTAACGTTAATACATAAAAATGACAAAAATTATACCCACGATAAATATTGAGCCCCAAAATATATTGTTCCAGCTATCATATGTGAACAATAAGTCGGTATAAGTCGTACTTTCTTTCAGTTTTTCACTTTGTAAATGAATTTGACTATATATGTCTTGGATTTGTCCTGGTTTTATTTTCAACGCCTCTTGTACTACCTTCAGAGCAGCTGTACAGTTTACTCATAATATTGTCTCTCTAATGAACCCTTCTTTGATAATCCCCATATTATCCTGTGGTTTTGATTCGGGACCAGCAAGATTAAATTTAGGTGCATGGAAAAGCACATTTTTTGAGTCGGTACATTGTGTGAGAAGTTAGTGAATCATTGTATTGAAGGGATTCTCGTGTGGAAGAACAGCTGGTGAAGATGCCTGAGGTGTAAACACTCAGAACTGTCAAAAATGTTAAGTTTGAAACAGCCTCCAGCACCAGCCCACACAGACACAGCTCAATCCACAGAGCTGTCAGGGATTCAGTGGCATGAAACGGTTTTTATGGAAAAAGAAATGTAGGAATTTGAAACGGCTTTAGCCATCAGTTATAAATGTGTTTTAAGATAGTTTATTCATGGGATTATTCTGGCAACCATCCTCTGTCGTCATAGCAATTAAGCTATTTAAATTAAAAAAATTATATCTTTTGAATGGAGTAACGTCTTTATGGGTCCTTGTAAAGTCTTTCAAGTCAGACAGGAATTATTAGTCTGAAACCTAGAGATATAAGCAATAACTTTTACTCCTGTAAAAGAACCTCATATAGCAATCCATGGGTTTCAGACTGATGAACATCTAGCACTTTGTCATAGCAATTCACAGTTAAAACAAATTATATCTTTTGAATGAGCGAAAATCCTCAAAATGCCACATATAAACAAGAAGCTAAACCCCATTCATACAGTGACAGGACAGGCACTCTGTCACTTTGTCACACCACTGCTTTATAATCCTGACTGAGGGTGGTGATGGGCAGGGTCACAGGGGTTGACTTCCTTTGTAACCCTAGCGCCTCTCTGAGTGCAGCCTTACACTACTGCTGAGTATAGTAATGTATATAGTTAAGTATATAGTATGGTATATGGTATAGACATGTGTAGGTGTTACGCACAAAGCCTCTGCAGTCCATCAAAGAGCCTGTCTATATTTATCAGTAAACTCCTCCCTCAGGCTGAAGTCTTCACACAGCAACATGGAGAAACACACAAGCTCATCCTATACACACCAAGTATCACCCGAGGAATTATCTCTCTCCGAATTTATACATGCATATGTATATAGTAGGGCTGTATTTGACTAAAGATATGCTTGGTGCATTGATTAGTTGACTTAAAGAGGGTGTGGCACTCGCAAAACCGGTCAAATTGGTTAGTTGTTTCTATATTCACTATTTATATGACCTAACGTGCACTCATAAGATCACAGACTCGTAAGAGTTCATGCAAAAACAACAAAGAAGTACTAGTAATTATTTACATGTAAAAACTTTATCTTAAATTAGTGTTTCCACTGCATTCATCTCCTGCTATGAGTAAAAAAAAAACACCAATGTTGTTTTCACGTATCAAATAGATGAACAGACTAGTGCAGCAAAAACATGATGTGAAAATAGACTTTAGTTGTTTGAAGAATGGATGGGCTTTCTACACTTGGCAAAGAGAGCAACACTTAAAGCCTAAAGGTCCTATATTATGCAAAACTCTTGTGAGGTTTAAGCCACGTTATAATGTTGTTAACTCCTACCTGGAGTTGTGCTTTATTTCATTCTCCAAAGCTCAAAATGCTCTTTTCCACTTTGTCACTAAGGGGTAATTTTCAAATGAATGGTTCCCTTTTAGCTTTAGTTCAGTAGAGATTGGCAATTCCAGGTCTGAAATAATCCAAATGAGTCTAGTAAAGAGGCATAGAGATCAGAAAATAGTGTCACACAGGCCTTTTAATGTAAAATATTAAGGGTACATCATTACACAGAGTCTTAAATACCCCCGTGTAGTTGCAGAGGGCAGTGTCCGTTAGACCCTGGCTCCTGTCTAAGTCTGTGTCTGAATCCTGCTGCGATCTTGTCAGAGCTGTAATGAGACATGCCCCGGGCCTCTCCTCCTCTCTGCTCATAATGAGGACATCAGGGCTCATCTGTGTCACTGGAATACTGCTAATGTCTCTACAAGCACAACTCACTCACAGCTCCTATGTACTACCGTATGTATTTATCTGCACCCAATTTGAGCAAAGTAACTACCTCAAGGAACTGCAGATTTATTTATGTCTCAGAGTTTATACACACGACAACTCGATCTCTCTGTAATACCCAATGCAGCCAAAATGGGACTAAACTTAGACTACATTAGGACTAAACCAGGACTAAACCAGGACTAAACCAGGACTAAACCAGGACTAAACCAGGACTAAACCAGGACTAAACCAGGGCTAAACCAGGGCTAAAACAGAGCTAAAACAGGACTAAAACAGAGCTAAAACAGAGCTAAAACAGGACTAAAACAGGACTAAAACAGGACTAAAACAGGACCAAGCCAACTCTACATCAAGATTTCACTGGGGGCTCAAACCAGGAGTGAATAAAGAATATGGAAATGTAGAACAGGACAGGAATACGGTGTTAGCAACATTTAATTTGCATCTGTTAAAACCAAATTCAGGTGTAGGGAAAACCCGTTGAACCAGTTTTATTATCAAATAAATGCAAATACAAAATACAAATATCTCAGAATAATAACTCTTTGGTACACGACTTTTACAGTATATGGCTCCTAAAATGAATAATTACTCTGAAAAATGCAGTCGCACGATTATTAGAGACATTATTTAGAGACATTTAGGAGAATAAACATACTAAATCATCTAAAAAGTCTAAATATTCTGCAATGGAAGAATACCTGATCATCCTCAGGGTTTCTGGAGCATCCATGTGATGGTGCATGTTTGTGAAGGTCTTTTAACCTAAACAGTATCATATTGACAACAGCCCCTGGTTCAGGACAAAAGACGTGTTGATGGAAGCAGAGGTGTAACCGTGGTGACGAGTGATCACACACACACACACAAACACAGATAAGACACAGATCAGAGGACAGGAAGTCAAACCAGGACGAGCTCTGATAACTGCTGTGATCTGTCTCCTCTGTGAATGCAGAGGTGGACAGGGACAAAGACAGGCCTAAACACTGGTCTCCTGGGCCCTAATGTAATGTACAGACCAAATACAGACACTGAGTATGCGGTACACCTTAGATTAGAGTGAATTAGGGTTGGGTGGTAATACGATATTACGGTATCCCATGGTATCAAAACGTAGCAGCGGTATCAGTTTCATTACCATCATTAAAAAAATCTGCAGCTCATAAGGACCTTATATAATATCATCATTTATTGATTCCTAAATTTGTTTGCTCAGCACAAATGAATGTGTGGTTGTATTCTCAGTTTAATGGTATCAGAATTTAAAACTAATAGTATCTATAATGTTTCTTTTAACATCGTGGGGAGATGATTACTTTCGTTCCATTATCACATGACGCTCATAAGGGAGACAAGACATGATGGCAAATCTGGCCGCAAGCAAGTTGGTCACCAAAAAAATACTAGTACTTCTGCTATTTGGCAGCATTTTGCCTTCAGGCGCACATTTGTTTATGTTTTACAGAAACAAAACTTAAAACTGCATGGCTCATTTGCATAAACTTTAAAGCGCTGATAAAAACAGCTGTTTTGTGCTGATGCGGTTCAGTTTCTGTTGGACTAAAGGACACGACTCAGTGGATTAAGTGTTGATTCTGTGATAGAGGATGTGCAGAGGGTGAGTCTGTTCTGTGCGTGTATCGAGTTGGAGATGGTTCATGTGAAACTTTTCAGAGATTATAAGTCTGTAGGTCATACGCATAGACTGTATAGCGGTATAGCAGTGCGGCTTTGTAGTTTACCAAGGTCGTACTAAAACATTTTGGTAACGGGGTAATACGGTATACCCCGCTAAAATCCTGAGAAGGTTTAACAGTATCAAAATTTGGATACCGTCCAACCCTAGAGTGAATTATTAAATAGATCAACTCCTGTGTGATAAAAGTGTCATTGCATTTTTGGGGTTCGTCAAGGCTCTGTTTTAGGCCCTATCATTTCTTTATGTACAACCTTTTGGTTATTTTGCAGCTACATCCAGGTAGGTTCAGAATATATATTCTATTAATGGACAACAATGAATATTGTCGTGGTCAATTGCTTTCCATAAAGTTTAGTCTCCTCTCCTAACACTATATGTGTGTGTTTGTGTGTTTTAGGTGGAGCAGACCAGTCACCCAGACCTGGCCCTGTTCCTCATTAAATACCTGATGATGCTGATCGTGGGGATCCCCTCTGTGTTCTGGGTCGGCAGCAAAAAGACCTGCTTTGAGTGGGCCAGCTTCTTCCACGGCAAGAGACGCAAAGAGTGAGTACTGATCATACCTGAACACACCGCAACTGTGATGTGTCTCCATGACAACGAACAAGACTGGTTTATATCTATATCTGTGGAGCTGGGTTGTCCTTAGAATGCTTTATGTTTGCCCCCAGATTTTTTTTTTGCTGTATTAAAATTATTTTTTTTAGGTAAGATTTTAATAATAATAAAGTCTAATTGAGCCATAAAAAATGTTGAATTATAAGCTATTTAAAACAGGAATTAGTGTATAATTAGATAAAACAATAAGAAAACAATACTATTATAATTATACTAAACAACTCAGTTTCAAATGAAACTTATTAAATGAAAAAAAAAAAAAGAAATATATAACCATTCTACAGATTTTTGTGTGCTTAATTTAAAATTAAATATTAATATAAGAATTTTAGTGCCATTTTGACTGTCTTTCTGGCATGGGATCATTTGTAGATCTATTTTTTTCAATAACACAAACTTATTTATTTTAGTCAAAATATCTAAACTCTATATTCAATTTCTTTTTTGACCAATGATACTGAAAACGTTTGTAATCTGCACTCCCCTCTCCTGGAATGTAACTCAGATCATTAACCCAGTGTCCCCCTGCCTCCTCCCCTCCCCTCTCTCCTCCCCACGCGCCCCTCCCCTCTGCACGCCTCCACCTTCCCCCTGTCCGTGCCCACCTCCCTGTCCCTGCCCTCTTTGCCCCTCTCCTCTCACCCCTCTCCCTCCTCTCCCCCCTCTCGCCCCTCTGCAGTGCCATGGTGAACGAGAGCCGCCAGGTGCTGCAGGAGCCTGACTTCACGGCCCTCCTGCTCCGGGACCCCAACACCCCCATCGTCAGGAAGTCCAGAGGCACCTCCACCCAGGTATAGAGCCTTTTTTTCTAGTATCAGTATTATGCTTATATATTTTCTTCATTACAAGATTCAAAACCTGATTTTTTTACTGCTGCAGCTTTGCTCTTTCATTGTATTTTGTACAATGACTATAAAAAAATCTAATCATTCATTGTCAATAGCGGGAATCAAGACCATAGACTGTAAATGGGCATAGCTAACCCACTAGACGCCTCGTTCCAAATAGGAAGTGAGCATGGGGGTGCTTCAAGCTCCTTTGACTCTGGCTCCAATTCACTTTACATAAAAAAAAAAAAAAAAAAAAAGTCATCCTGTCACTGTAACTGCAATCTCGTTATTTTAGTTTTAAAATGTTCACAATGACCTGCTCTACATGATTCTGGAATTTTTATTTCACTATTTTGTCTGTAAATAAATATCTATTCCTAATATGGAACTTGACTCCAAATTCATTCCTACAACCACTAGCATCTTGAGCTTCGTTTGACTGGAGCCCAATGCTATGGGTGGCGTCACGCTCCCTTAGTCCACTTCTTTCTACAGTCTATGATCAAGCCCCCAAGTGTGTCTACCAATTGAGCTACTGTCAGAAAGTCCAATTTTAGTGTCGATATTAAGATATTTAGATATTTTTAAGAATAAAGGCTACTCATGAAATTTCAGTCAAACTGTTTAGTAGCGTACCATATTGTGTAATTAACAACACTGAAACATTTTTTATTGCAAGATGTAAAATATATGCTCATATTACTACATTTTAAACTAAATAGTTTCAGAAAATACTATTCTTTTATTGTGTTGAGACGTCACAATTCATATTAAAATTGTTTAATCTGCCCTCCTCTCGTCACAGGGCACCTCCACCCACGCCTCCTCCACTCACCTGGCCATGGACGAGCCCCATAGCAACAGCACGAGCCGCGCCGGGTCTGTGCGCAGCGGCCGCTCCAAACTGAGCAGTTACCATGGCAGCCTGCACCGCTCCCGGGACGGCAGGTATGGTTATATCTATTTACTGCTATTCTTAGCTGCTAGTGGATTTGAGTCTTTTTACGAGTCCTATTGACAAACCTTTTTTGAAGTCTTGATGTTAACTTTAGAGCTATAGTTAGTGATCCTGCTTCAATTTTGGTCAGTTCTTGTTTAGACCTGGTGTAGTCCTGATATGTGAAAGTCAAGTAACATCTGAGGTGGATAGTGTGGTGCATAGAGACACGGCCTGTAGCGCTCCTGCCATCTAGTGGTGCAAAAGTGGTACATGACTACAATTGCTTAGTGATCCCAGCCTCTCTCTCTAGACCTAATATGTTTCAGTGGCTTAACATTTTCAGAGTACTGCAAATGTTTTGGTGTAGAAGGTTTCTGAAGAATAATATGATACCAGTTTATCAAACAGGAATTATCAGGCCAACTATGAGATTCAGAATGATGAGGAATTTGGTCTGTCGTTATGATAATTACTATTTTAAACAAGATATAACATGATTTGAATGGGAAAACATTCTCCTAATATAACAGGAAGTTGAATCACAAATACAACAGTACAAATGGAGTTTTTAAAAAGTGTTTACAAATTAACTTACTCTATCTAACTAAGTCTAATACACACAATTTCCATCTGAATGGCAGATACACAGCGAGCAGCTTCCGAGCAGCGGACGAGCGTCAGCCGTATGGGAGCCTGCCGCGCCTCCACGACTCCAGGCACTGCAGCTCCAACAGACTGGACAGCTCGCACCGACTGGACAACCTGTCTCGTCACGGCTCCACCCACAGACTGGAGAGCCAATCACGGCACAGCAGCATCCGGGATCTGACCAACCACACGCAGGTGCTCAGTGTCCCGGGAAACGGAATTCACAGGGTCATGGAGGAGGACGGGACCACAGCTTGAGAACCCCCATAGACTGAATGTTAAAGTTTCAGATGGACTACTGCAGTGGGGTGCTCTGAGGGCTCACAAATATGCCTTAAAATGTTCCGAAATGTAAGAAGATGAAATAAGATAATTTTGAGGTCAACTGGACTCAAGTTCGTGGAGTTTTTCGAATCATGAATTTTAAACCGTCCTTGAAAATATTTGCCTTCAGCCAACCTCACCATATCTTACAATGGAACAAAATGCAGTGGTCCACCTCTTACTAACCCAAGTCGCCTCAAAACAAGAAGGTTCTTGATTCAAAACTCTGAAATAAATCTGACATGTGTGCTCTCCTCATGTCTGGATGAATGAATCTTCTCTGTGTGCTCTGGGGTTCTTTATATCGACCTAAATCAAGTGTAGAGGACCCCCGATGAGGTACTCCTGTATCTGGAGAAGGGTGCTGCACTGTGCTCATGTTAACACATTGCCCCCTAGTGGCTGTGATGAATGGGGCAAATGTACCAGGACATTTTTTTATATCAAGGTCTATAAAAGGCCAAAGACTGTATTTAATATTATTGTCTGTAACTACTGCTGATGCCTCCGTTCCGACGCATGAAGAACAAATTTTGCCTTTGACTGGAAAACCTTTTTATAAATCCTATGAGTTTATGAAATTTTAAAAAGGGACTAAAGAGTTTTACAGATTTCAAGCCATTGTTCGGGCTGCTACAGGGAAAAGCTACATCCAAACTCCTGCCTTACACTGGAACACACTGTAGTTAGAGACAAAGTAGTCGTAGCTAGTCCTGTTTGAAATGTGACCATGTAAAGCTATTGTAAATGATAGATGACCTTTGTGCATAGATGTAAAAAATAATGTGAATTTTTGTAATAAAATGTTTTTTAAGAAATTTGTATATGCATTTTCAATCATAAGATTCTTTTATCAGCCATCTGTGCTTCATAAACTATGGATCTTCAAAGCATTCACAAAACATGAAAATATCAGTATTTTTAAACTGATTCAAATACACAGAACTTACACTATTTTGTTGCAGGGAATAAATAAAACAGAAGTATGTACTTCATAAAAAGATCAGGGATTTCAGCTTCTTGTTTATAAGTACCATTCAGAGCACTTTAGAAACAAATGATAGAATACTGATTTGAATTGTTAATTGCTATGGTAACAGTGATCATTTCCATCACTCTGAAACCTATGAGTTTTTCCCACTCAGCTTTTGGTGGGAAAAATCTGATATCGGTTCAGTAGATATCCCATTTTGGTCTATAAATTGGTGTAATAATTTAAATAGTCACATTTTTCTATGCTTTTCCACCTTCTTTTCCATTTTTTAAATTTTTTTTATTGCTTTTCCACCTTCAAGGCACTCAAAGCGCTTTACAACAAGGAACCACTCACCCATCTTCACACACCAGTGTACGCAGACACTGGGGGCGAGGTGGGTTAAGTGTCTTGCTCAAGGACACAACAGCATTCACCTGTGGGAGCTGGAATCACACGAGCCCACCTGTGGGTCGGTAACCTTTTGAGAAATGAGCACACGAGAGCACACAGCCTTGTAACAGCCCTCCGCTTTATTGAAATACATCGGAGTGGGGTTAATATAATGAGTCTTCCACGCCAGTGTGGCAGCCAGTTCATCATACATCATTTGTTTTTGACCTTTGACCTTACACCTTAAATATCTTTGTGCAAAAAGAGAATCTACATCACCTGTAGTGGGTTATCCTCAGTAAAACCGCCCAAACCGTTTCGAAAGTAAAACAACAAAACCGAAAATGATTACATCTATAACATGCAAAACTGTACAAATTATTACAAAGCAATCCTAGAAAAAACAAAGTGTATTATGATATGAAAGGGCAAATGTAATATCTGGATAAGACCTCACTGAAATGAAAAGGCGTTTTTTGAATTTTTTTTTTTTTTTAACAGTTTTCGTCTCACTGTGGCACCTCGGCCTTTCGATCGCCCCTTCACCATATCTACTCTAAACCCGTTCTGAACTCTCTCTCGTACACACCTTCGTCTAAAATTCATTGGTTTCCGACATTTCCTGAGTTTTTTTCTCTCACACAGGGATAAGCTGGCTTCACTTTTTCTGTACAACATTAAGAATCTGGCCTTTTATAAAACGTCCTGCTAACATAATCTGCTTTAGCTAATACATTCTACATCTGAACTGGATAGCTTAAAGGTCTTGGAAAGTCTTGCACCTCTTTGAATGAAAAAAAATACTTGGGGAAAATACTTGGAATGAGGAAACTTTGGAAACCTGTAGGAATGACCGGATCAAATTGGAAAAAAATGTCAATGTAAAACAACTTGAGTTTATCTCAGCAGCACAAATAAACAGTAAAAAGCGTAACAAATCTTATATAAAATGGAGGCGGAGTTAACAGGATTAACAGCTGGGAAATACAAAGAGGTATGGTGGCCCTGAAGGGACAATAGGAATTGCAACACAGAAACAACAGCTGAAAAGTAAAATGAAAAATAATGAAATACAAAAATATATGTGGACAAAAGCAAATAAAAAGTATAAAAATGCAAAAAACTAGAAACGAAATTGAATTGGATAAAACTAGTAAAATTAAAAGAAAAACAAAACAGAAGTGCAACTTGCAAAACGCCAAAGATAAATAAAACCAATATTTTCATTTGACCAAAATTTAACTAAAATTCTTGCATTTATTATTATTATTATTTTTACGATTTACAGTATTTATCCAATTTTTATTCCAATATTGGTTGCAGCATTTGACATTTTGCTTTTGTCCTTCTATTAATTTTGTATTTCACTATATATTTTGATTTGCTAGTGTAGTGAAATGACCCTTCAGAGCCACCGTAGACATGGGATATTAGACCCAATCCAATCTATAGATGTCCTTTATAACTTTTCTTGTAGCTTTTTTAGTGTTTACATTCTTTTAATCACAGGAAGCTTCTTTTTGAACACATTATTTAAACATCAAGTCTGTAAAGCAAAGGCTACACTGTAGAAAGATGCAATACAAGTGTCCATAGTTCTGTTTTTCCATGTTGGTACCACAGTGACGTCTGATTGACTGGCCTCCTGTCTGAAGCCGGAACAAGGCATCTGATGCATAAAAACGCCACCTAGTGTCAGTTTGTGGCGGCAGCTTCGTTTTCACGCTACGTCGCGAGCAGTAGTGTGGAATCATAAAGACACTCAAATCAAACCAAAGTGGGGAATAAAAGAAAGCACACTCAACACGTGTCGTACATATGATAAAAAAAAAATAATCTAAAATCAACCGGTAAAAAAAAGAAAAAGTGGTTTTAAAATGGCTTTTGTGTGAAAACCCCACATCACTCAAAAGAAACTCAAAGAAGAGAGTATTTGTCTTCCCTGTGTCTATAGTATGTTCCTTATCATATATTACTCTACTCTATGTACATTAGTGACTGTCAGTTTGGTTTAACAGCAACATGGAGCGTTGATGATGTCACTCGATCTGGACCAATCAGGAGACGGCGAGCTGCGGTGGTGTCATAGAAGCCTACTTTCTCATTAAAATACTATAAAGTCACTGCACAAATCAAAAGTCGAATGGTGAAAGCATGTGAGGGACAGAGGCGCTTCAGGGCTGAAACTACGCTCTCAATTTCCTCGTCTAAGATTGATAAATAAATTAAAATATCATCCCCCATAAACCCACAGGGTCCTATGTACAAGTACAAATATTTTTAGAATAATCCTCTTCTTTTTGTTGAGCCAAAAAGAGCCGAATGGGGAGCAAGTATTTCCTATTTCATTTGCCCTTAGTGAAGAACTCATGCTCGCACACATTTGCACCTAGCATACGCCATTATCGCTAGCATACGCGTTAGCACTAGCATATGCCTTAGTGTTAGCATAGTAGGTAGCGCTAGCACACATCGTAGCGCTGACACACGTTCCATTACAGACAGGACAATGTTCTTAAATGGGCTGCAGTTCTCTGGGCAGTGAGGTGGTGCTGGGGTCCGAGAGCATGTGGCGGGGACGGGGGGGGCGTGTCCTGCGTGGAGAGGGGCGGAGTCCTGTGCTGTCGATTGGTCAGTTTGTATTATCGTGGGAAGGGACGTAAGGGGGGGTGAGTGGTCCCGCCCGGGCTCATGTGTCCCAGCCCATACGGTCCGTGCTCTCCAGCGACAGGGACTTGGTCTTGTGGGGGGAGGCGGGGCTGGGGGGGCTGCTGAACGTGGAGCTGTTGGAGGCCGTGGAGTGACGCGGCGAGTCGGAGTCCTGAAGCGAGAAGGACAAGAAAAGGGTCAGTTTCTGTTTATTGTGAATAGGAGGTCCTCTGTCCCAAGTCTTTGCCCTGTGTCTCCTGTCCCGTCTTTTGCCCAAAGTCCCTTGCCCCAAGTCCCGTGTCCTGTCTTTTGCCTCAGGTCCTCTGCCCTCTCTCATGCATGTGCCTCAGTGAGCTGTAGGCGGTGCACATGCGGGACAGCAATGAGAGGGACTCAATGAAATGTGTCAGCCCTTTTAGGTCAACGGGCTCCACTTTGTTTTAAATGAAAACACAATAGAGTACTACAGTCTGCACGTAAACAGATCCTGAAGCTTTTCACAGAGCTACAATTATATTCAATCACCATCAGAATGTGGCAGCATCACAAAACACTACATATATCACAGCTTTAAGACTCCAACGGAAATATTTTAATTTAATGCAAATAAAGGAATGAAAAAGAAAAAAATAAAGAGTAGATGGTTTGTGGTTCAGAAGTAAATAAAAACATGACAAATGAACAAGTATCACAAGCATCACACAATGTCTCCACACAAATGCTTCCAGTTTACAGAACCTCTGATCATGAGAACTTTTTATTGAACCATTTTATTAATCGTTATTACAAAGAAGCATTATTTTATCACTCCTGAAAACTAATGCCACTCTTGTGTTAAACTCAGATAATGTGACTATAACATTATCCCGGAGCACACAAACCATGCAGCTGCACTCAAAAAATGATCCGTGATTGGTTAAAGCAGTTTGGGCGATGAAGCACCGTGCGCTGTGATTGGCTGATGAGCAGCAGATGTAACACTGTGCAAAACATGAGGCGTCATTCACTGAGCTCAGCACAACCAAAGGGGGAGGGGCCAGTGGTCATGTGACTTCATGAAGGGTGTGGCGTCCTGTCCTAAACCAGAGCGGGAGTGTCTTTACCTTCATCTTACTAAGAAGTGTCCGCAAAGCCCTTTTCAGATCTGGGGTCTTCTCCGACGGCGACACAGCCTGCCACTGAAGAGGAGAGCACACTGAGCACGGCCGGACAACGCATGCACGCCGCCAGGGGGCAGGAGAGGACAGGGGGGTACACAAGGGGGTACACAGAGGTACTGGGGGTATACAAGAGTACTGGGGGTACACATGATACACGGGGCACAGGGCGTCAGGCGGGACATGAGCCCGATGGGACGATGAGACACGACATGAAGCGGACGGCGTTCAGCAGGAGGGCTGTGATGGAGCCTCAGGATGGACCGGGGAGATGGGAGGAGCCTCAGGGGTCGCATGAACAGTAACAGGAGAAATGCCTCTAAGTCTGATACGGCCTGAAGCGCTAAACAAGAAGCACCGTGTTGGCTATAAACGACTCTACGCAACACAGGGATCTAACCGGGCAGCGAGGGGTGTTCAGCTGTTTGGGTTTTTTTGGAGCATGGGGTCGAAGGAGGAAATCTGACTCAACATGAACAAATGTTTCACCAAACTACTATAGAAGCCACTGAGCAGCAGACACATCACACCAGTCTGAGTTAAACACAATTCACTCTGAATCAATGAAGAAGCCGAGCATGCTCCTCTCACACAGCAGACCGCTAGTTTCAAGTTCTAATCTCAAATCACAGCACTGTATGAGTAACAGATGGGGGCAGGAAAAGCTCATCTTATTTTTTCTTAATTTGTGCATAGACGTAAAAAAATAGAAAAATAATGGACCTTGTAAAATAAATAATTCACATGGATCATATTGTGGATTTTCTGTGGATTCTTCATAAAAAAAACAGCATATAGCTTTGCTTCCCGTGCCCACCATCTGAGAGGCTGTGGGGTCCAGCAGCAGTGGGTCCACTCACCTCGCGGTCGAACTGTGAGAGGGGGGCGTCTCCACAGTCCATGCCCCCGCCCGACGACAGCGAGCTCTCGGACGGCGACGTCATGGTCTGACGCTTGGAGCCGTAACTGCCTCCGGACAGCTCCCTCCGCAGAGCACTGCCGTTCTGAGAGGAGGAGCCTGGAGCATGAGAAGAGGAGAGGGTACAAAGATCAGCTATTTTTTTCATGATCAGTGTATAGAATCAAGTGTATTTTTTAAATAAAATCTCGTTCTATATGCACACAGCGGAATGTCTTGAGATTTTATTGCTTTTCACACAATGTTCCATCGTATGGCATTAAACTTACCTATACTCCCTTAATTAAATTGCAGTTATTTTTATTGCTACAGAAATACTTTGAAAAACATTAGTGGGATCCATTCTCCACAGATCTTACCCACAGCTTAATTGTACCCATGGAGATAGATAAGTGTAAAGCCATACTGTGGAACAATCCAGGCAAATGGTAAAGCATCTCGTTGAAGACAATCAGATGGCCAACTCTCCACCAGAAAAGCACCTTTAAAATCTGTTAAGGTGAAGTCTAAATTGTATTGTTTTATTTTGTCAGTTCCTTAGACATAGATTTCATTATTATTTTAAGTTAAGCCGGACATCTATAACCCTACAGCACTTAGTTAAAATGTAGAGGGGCAAATGTCTAATTATTTGTCAAATCAACATGTGTGGAGTGAGGATTTTACTTTTAAATATTGTTTGGTACAGTAATCCTGTTGATCTTAGTCTGTGCTGGTGTATGAACACTCACGTATGCCCAGTCCGCTGCTGGCGCTCATGGACCGGCCCGGCTCGCCCCTGTTCTTGGTGATGGAGGGAATACTGACAGAGCCACTGAAGCCCGCGCGGTTCTCCTGGACACGCACGTTCTGTTATTCACACACATACAGAAGGGAGGTGGGGGAGAGGGGGGCGGGGGAGGAGAGTGGAGGGGTGAGGGCGGTGCATACAAATCTAACTCTATGGTGAGCAGTGGGGAGGTGTTTTCAAACATGCTGAATTTTAAACTGGGCTGGAGTGATGACAAGTACAATCTAGGCAACACACTACAATTCTGTCATACAAGCAAACTCAAAAAAAAAAAGTTGTCATCTGATATTTCCATTAATTTACTAACTTATGTACTGTCTGTATATTAGTATCTTGTGTGGTATTTGCATTTATTAAATCATTTGTGACTTCATGTGATTTTGAAACAAGTATTACTGGATTTCTGGTTCATTGCGCTCTACGGTATTGACACAACAGACTCACATAATGACCACAAATTGTGCGCGGAGGTTAGAAAAATAAGGAAATGGTCCTAGTTAAAATACTAGTGCATTTTCTTCTTGATGAAAAAACAAGAACACATACAGACATCTGTTCCCTGGCCCATTCATTCTCTAAATAAGTAAATATTCTGCTGTGGCCCTGTGCATACCATGGGAAGGTCTTTGAGGATCTGGATGCCATCCCCTGGTCCCATGTGAGCCACGTGGTTAAAGTTGGTCGGGTTTGAGATGAGCTTGTTCCTCATCTCTGGGTCTCGGAGCATCTCTCTGGAAAACACAGACATCAGGAATTAAATATTGAGTTGTCTTACCCATTCTGTTTATTTCCACATTTTTTCTCATCTTATTACTGCCATTTCTATAAATGTATGTAAGCATCCGGCTGCTTTATAAGATAGTTTAATAGGAGTTAAAAGTTCTGTTACATATTCATAAATACATTTTTAACAAAGCTAATTTTCAGTCCCTTTGGCCACTAAAGCTGAAACTGTATTTTTCCCCAACATGATCTTTATTTTTAATTTAAAAATATGGTACACACCAAAATATGTTACTGTTTGTTTTGTACTTTTGTTTTTAATATGCATCTTGCGCCACACTTATCCTTATTCATGGTCTAGACTGTACTAGTATATGTTACTATGTAGAAAGTGATTAACCTAATGAATGACATTGAGACTTGAGTGCTAAAGTGAGTGGTCTCAGTTGTACCTCCTCTGCTGAAGCCGCTCCTCCTCTGGGACCCTGAAGGAGAAGCGTCTCTTGTTGTTCATGCTGCGCACCATCTGCTTCCTGCTGTTGTCAGAGGTCTCAGGCACCACCAACTCGTCTCCCTCTGGATGAACCAACACAAGTTTGGGGTTAACGAAGAAGGAAGAGTGGAGCTGTTCCAAAGTTCGTCTGTGAACAGCAACAGGAGCTATAATCCTAAATATTCTCACCGGCCATCTTGTTTCTGAAGTAGATGAGGCGAACTGTTTCCAGTCCCAAAAGATTTAAAGAGCCGTCCACATTCAGAGGACGCACCTGTCACAGAACAAAACAAAATGTTCTTTGTAACCCTTCACAACAACTTCAGATGTATAGATATTTCCCAACTAGATGAAACCAGAAAAGCTGCTACCTTTGACAGGGATCATTTATAACATTAAGCCAACATTAGCATGTTGGTACACATTAACATGAACAGTGGTTTATTTGACCAGGTGTGTCCAAACATTAGTCACCTTCTTTAGAGGGATGGTCTGGATCCACTCCATGGTGTTCACATCAAACACATCCACCGCATTCTCACTGTACACCGACAGGTAGGGGGCGTTGTAACCTGAACACAAAAAGGAGAAATATTCGTGGACTCCGTAATCTTCACTTCATCACACATTTTGTGAACATTGTGATATGAACTTATTTGGGAAATGGGGCTAAATGAAGATGTTAGTTTTAAGTGATTCCTGTAAATTAAAAAAAACATTGTAAACAAAACTCACAGGCGGCATTGGGCACTGCGGGCCACATGAGCTCCTGTTGCCGTGAGCGACGCCCCTGTGAGTCGACGTAAACACCAATGGCGCTGAAGCAGAGAAGCAACTCTTTACTGGAGATCTCCACAGCACAGAGTGCGTCCAGGCTCTGCTGAGGGATGAAGGCCAGAGTGTGGTCCTCTGGATGCAACAGACTCACCGGGGACACGTCGCCATGGACACTGCAGCAGATATGATATATTTAACATTGCAACATGCCTATGTATATCTATATCATATTTTATTATTATCTTCCCTTGTAACAAGTACCTTTCTCATCTTGATTTGACTGCATTCCCATTTTTATTACTTATCTGTGTATTAACTGCCAGATTTTTTACACTGATAGCAATGAATCTTCAGGCCAATCGGATTTGTACTTAAATAAGATTATCTTCAAAATAGTATTACTTATGTAGAAATAAAAAGCAGCTATCGGGTAGCATTTCATATAAACCTTATTGATAGATTTTGTGGGCAGAGTAGCAAACAGTTTCAATTAAATGATCACACATTGAAATAAACTGGCAGTTATGAAAGCAACTACAATTCCATAAATTCCAGATGCAGTAGGGTATGAAAGTATGAAATAAACCTCATTTTATAAGGTAAATATTCTGAGCAGTAGCGCAGTGCAATCACCTGTATCTGGTGAAGCCAGACTGGTATCCCACATAGAGTCTCTCACTGAGCAGCCCCATCCACTGCACCTGCCCTGGGGCCTGCAGCTCCCGGAGACGCCGGTGACGCATTTTACTCTTATTCACCTGGAACAGATGGTTCAAGAATTTAAAATACTTTTACAGATAAAAACAATTTCACGGTTAAGTTTATTTTTCCCCTATTACTGATGTTGTAATTGGAGTCCATCCCAGTAAAATTGGGCCTTGGGACTTTTAGAACCATGCTGAAGAATGAACCCAGTGCTCGAAAACCTACTGCTAAACCATTATATGTGTGTTCTAAACCATTTTAACTGTTATTTCATTGATAATATTTTACACAATATATTGAAGGTTAAGGTTTTAAATAGTAGTCATCTGTACATGGTTTTAAGTGGAAGTCTTTGCCAATTCTAAAGAAAAAAAACTAAACTTTTTTTCTACATAATATTCTACATAATTATATAGTGATATAACTGTCCACATTGGGTGATGTGTTCCCTTGGAGTTTTATTGAATTATAATTGTAAAGTTTTATATTAAATCAACAGTGTGTACCTCGTAGCAGATGATCTGTCTCTTCATGGCCACACACAGACAGGTGAGGGCGCCGTTGCGCACTGGTCCGGACACGACGCTAGTGCAGCCTTTGGTCTCGGCCAGTTTGAACGAGTCTGTCTCGCGGCCGTCTAACGCCTGTGTGGGGAACAGACGAACGTGACGATTCCTCCCCGAGATCACGGCCAACAGCTGCTCCTGCGCCATCAGGTCTATGTGGTGCACCTTCTTATTGTCCCCAACACGGATGATTTCTGAAGGAAGTACAAATAAGCACAGAATTATACGAGAGTCAAGTTTATATTTTTTCCGTATTTAATTGAAATTAATAAATAAATTAATTATATATTTTTTCCATAACAAAATATATAGTGAAAAGTCAGGTACACCTTCATAAAATGAACACACATACAGAAACTATCCCACTGTTACCACATCATCTAACGTCTTTTCACTTCCAGCACTGTACATTATTCAGTTCAGTTCTTCCACATTTAAGAGTAGTGTTAAAATTGATACCACTTACCATCTTTGGTGACATGGACGACAAAAAGTCCTTCCTCATTTCCCAGGGCAACGCGCTCGTGATCTGTAGAAAATGAAACAGAAATGCGTTAATCTTGTAAAACCCACAGCTTTACCACTTGCCCAGTGCATAAATGCAGTTTGGTTCACTGTATTGACAGCTGGATTGAAATAAATAAATAAATAAATAAATATACATATATTATATATTATATATATATATATATATCCAATGCTACTCCAAGGGTTATCATTTATTTGTAGTTATCGTTTATTATTTGTATATTGTAGCTTACACTGGTTAATCGCCAATAACCTGTCTTCACTTTAAAATATAAAAATCAAGCCAAACCATGTTGAAATGCCTTCCTGCCAAACCGATACCCCACTTATTAGCTACATATTTCTTTAGGAAAATACACAGAGAATGCCCACCTATGATGGCAGCGGACTGGGTGGTCTTGATTAGAGGCAGGGTGCTGTCATAGGCCTCTTTGGGCACGTACACAAAGCGCTCCTTCAGTTTGTTCTTCTTGAGGATTCGGTGGAGTTCGTTGAGGAGGCCCACCCACTTGTTCCTCTCCTGGTCACTATCGGCCAGGATCAGGATGGAGGTCTTATTACTGCTGGAGGGAGAGAGCTGAGACGCTGTGACCTGATGAACAAAAACAGATTAGTTTGACTACAGAGGAAGCTTCATGATGAAATCTAACACCATATTTGATTTTATGACTTAATTTTGACAAATTAAAGCTGTACTCATTCAAAATAAGTATTTTCTATTATTTTAGAAAAGAGAAATAGTTTTTGACATATATCTGTATAAATGTGTATTGAGGCCGAACATCCCAACATCAGTTTATTTCTACCCCAATTACCCTCTTCGCAATGCAAGTTAATAGTGAACTGGAAATGTTTAACTATACTTACTCTGAATATACACGGGATGTCTTTGCGGCTGGCGTGGATGACGTCTGAAGCCAAGACTGAACTGACTGAAAACTCCTCATCCCTGAATAAAAAGACATAATCAGTTTTACCACTACACTCTCAGGAAATAAACAAGACAAAATTGCGCCATCTCGCTACAACTTAGTTACAACCAGTTAAAATATTATCAGTTTCTCAAATCAATAATAAAGAGTCCATACTGTTACCTCATGTCTATGACCTGGCTGACCACCACACTGGGCTGTGTAGCTTTGCCCTCTCCGAGCTCGTACAGAAACAGTTTAAAGTCACAGACCACAGCCATCGCTCTCTGCCAGCCCTTTTTCACCCCTGTGGGCTTTGGAACCTGCAACACACAATATACATGCAATTTACATTATGCTGATAATCCTTGTTTAGACAGGACAAATCACAGAACTATTTTTACTCAATGCGCAATTCATCAATTATGATCTTTTCATGTTTATGTGGTCGTAAGAAACAAATGAAATATGTGTCTCCACTCACCCTGACAGTGCCCTCGTATGCTGTGCCGATGCCTCTCTGTGGGTCGATCCCCAGAGGGCCCTTGGTCTGGTCCTGGGGCACTGGGCAAACGGCAGGAGCTTTGTCCGCACATGTCACATGACACGAGAAGTTACACACTGCAGAGAGAGAGACAACATTAGAATGACTTGAACAGATTTTAGGCTTGGTCACAGTGGTTCATTAGCACAATAAAATAAATGCAAAAAGGCAAATAAGCATGGGCATTTGTGAAAGCACAGATTTACAAAAAACTTATTTAGTAGTAGTAAGAGACATAAAAATGACATAAAATGAAATAAGTTATATTTGTAGTTTACCTTCACATGTGCAACCCTGGCGTATGAGCCCCACCATGAGGGAGGTGCACTGGTTACACTTGGTGGGGGTGTTGAACGTTTTCACTACAAACTGATGAGCTTTGGGCTAAGGAAATAAAGAGAGAAACATTATTATTTCCATCTAAATCAAGGATATCAAAATATTATATGTCTTATGTAATGTAGTTAACCTTTGGAGAGGAGCGTCCGATGCTGCCATATCCTCCTGACCTCATGGTGGGAGTCTGGACTGTTCGGCCTGGGTGGTCTATCAACTGCAAAAACACAACACACAGTTTTAATGGATTTCTATCAATCATTATGCAGGGTTATCTTGGCAGCACTGTGATTTACAGAGTGAAATGTATATTGTAATTAATAATGTCAAAATGTTTTGTATTTTTTTCCGATGAGGTTTCTAGTCTATGGTTTGTCTAGGGGAGACAAAAAACATTCACATTCATAGACAGCCTATGTCATTCCTTAAATTCGTATACATAATTGTAAATAATTTTACTTTAAAGGTGCACTGCACATCTGCTACTTGTCTGAAATGTTATTGCTTTCCATGGAATGTTCCATTATATGACATTAAACATAGGTTTCTAGTATTTATTATTCATTACAGGTGTTTCTAATATGCAAAAATAGAATAATTTCTTTTGTGAATAGGGGCGACTCTCCACAGATCTGACCTGTAATATAGCTATATAGTGCTGTAACCTGCTTTTATCCTTTATGATTGATGATGACAAGGCAATAACATTTTCATGGAGGCGCAAGTAACTACACCAGAAAAGGTGCACAGTGCACCTTTACATAAACATTGACAAATATGAATTTATGGGCAAGTACAAAATAGTTTAAGTAATCTCCATGTCTGTCAGTATACAGTACCTCAATAGGCTCCATATCACTGGCCATGGAGGGGGATCGCGAGCGGTTTTTGAGCAGGGCTTTGGGGTCATCTTCTCTGGAGGGAGTGTTGGAGGGAGTGAAGTTATCCATGGAGTCCACCTGAAGAAGAAAGAAACATCAACAAAAAAGTACTACAAATATTCTCAAATATCACAGAAACAAGAGGAGAGAAAGTACGAGTCAGTGGAGATTGATTTTGACAGTTCATGCCAATATTAGACTTTTACTTCAAACCCAAATTTCATAATGACTTTTTTCATAGGACTTGAGCATTCTCCAAAAAACATGCACAGCCATACACAAAGCACAAACAAGCAAGACAAGACACATGGAGTCAAAAGCACAGTCCACTGTCACACAATGCAAATGGTAATTTCATGGAAAACAGACCTATTATTAAAATAAATCAAAATCTGTAACTTGCTCTTAACAAGTACAGAATAGCTTGTATGTTGATTAAGAGCTGATCTGGTTGGTGTTTCAGACTAATTTCAGTGATAGTTGTATCTGTGCATTTCAAGCTATGGAAACAGGCCTCAACTGCCATAGCAACAATCAAACAATTATAATTATAGCTATAGGTCTGTCATTATAGCTCACTGGGAGAAAAGACCTCATTAAATAAATACTTCATATCAGGAAGGAACGATTTGCCTAAAACCTATAAAATAATCCTTAAATGTCAAATTATATACATTCAGGTTACATGATTAGTTAGTAACACTGTTGTCTTATTACAGAATTAACCAAAACAATTCATTATGCCAAATTTAAAGGTGCACTATGTAACTTTTTGGTTTGGGGTCCGTCACTGCTCTGCTTAGAATGGTCTACAGTATGACATTAAATAGCTCTACCTTATTCATTCAGTTACAGATGTTTTTGTAACTCCAAGATACCAGGAAAAACAGGCATGACTGTAAGTGGGTTTGCCTCTCCACAGATCTGACCTGCAACTTGGTCTGCTTTGGTCTCAACGAGGATAGAAAGGTTTAATGCCACACTGTGAACCATTCCAGACAAAGCAATAATATCTCCATGAAGAAAAGTTACACAATGCTCTTTTAAAACAGAATGCAATGATTAGATTTCACATGAGATAACCTTGTCACCATTTCCAAAAAGCAAGGAGCAAATATTGAAACAACCACACAGCCACACCACACACAAAATCAAGCAAAACAATAGAGTGAAAACCACGATCCAAGCTTTCTTAAAGAGCCAGTGATGCTTACACGTCTGCCTTTAGCCGGGCCAACGGAGGGTGAGCGCTTCAGTGGAGAGAGAGAGAAAGAAAAAGAGAAAAGTGGAACAGACACAGATATAAGTGAACAACAGGAAGAGAGGATTAAACAGCAAGAAAACACTTAAGAACCAGTCAAAAGTTTAGACACATTTAGTTTAACTTTGGAAATACTCAGGAAACATTTTAAGTGGCCAATTTTAGTTTTTAGATTCAGATTTAGTCATTTTCAGTCTAATTTAGTTCCAGATAATAAACTAATGTACTGTTTCTCCAAGTGTGGTACTTCTCAAAATATCTCTTATATTCAATATTTTGTCCTCCTTTGGGTTAGTTTTAGTTTAGAATGCTCATGTCATGATGTACTGTAGTCCTATTTTAGTTTAGAACTGGTGTAGTCCTGTTTAAAACCTGGTTTAGATTTTGTGGTGCTATGAAGGCCAATTTTTTTTTTTTTAGGTAATATAAAAGTTTGAGAACCACTGAACTAATGCATTGTACTATATTAATCCATTATAAGAGTTTTATGTGGTTATCAAATGAGTTAATCCTGGTTTAAATGTGGTTTGGTCTTGGATTAAGCCCTGTTTATTCCAGATGTAGACTTTATTTGGTCCTGGTTTAGTTCCAGTTTAGTCCTTATTTTGGTGTGGTGTGTGCTCGCTAGTGTGTACCCACCCTTATTGTTTTTGTTTAGTCTGTTTCCAGGTATTGTAAAATTTTCCTTCAAAGTTGCTACAATGAAAGTAAATATGTCTGAGGCAGATAAAATTTAAAGAGGGTTTCCAGAAGTGTATCCAAACTTTTGACAGGTTTTGTTGAAAGGAGAGAATTAACTACTGCGGAACCAGGGCTGAGAAAAAAAATACAAACAACACACGGGTGAAAGAAGGAGCAGGTGAGGTTACAAAAGTTCACAAATGTACTAAATAGCAGGAATCGAACGCTAAAAGCATCACCCAATTAGATTTAACTAACTAACTTCAGAAAATGCCAGCTCAAAAAGGAGGTGTACTGTGATCTTTGTCAATCTGATAATTCACTTTAAAACGAAGATTGTCAAATTTCACAGTACAGTCCAGGACCAAAAGGCAGTAGACGTTAATGCAAGTCAAGCTACAGCAGCAGTCCCTTGTGACACAGAGCCACTACATGTATTGTAAATTGACTTCTATTGATTTTCATTAATTATTAATTAATTTACTTTCAGTTGCAAAATAGACACAATTTTCAGCTAAGAAATATCATACCACTGGAAATGTTGCAGAGGGTACTTTATTTAGCATATGTCTAGGTAATATATAATTGAGCAATGACAGGTTAGCATTGGTCAGATGAAGTTCAATTAACATGAATATTACATACACTATTTATGGAGAAATGGCAACTAGACTGACACCAAGTTAAAATATTAGAGACAATTTTTCAAAGAGTTACCAAAATAAATGCACTTAAAAAATCCAGTTACACCATTGCTGCTCACTGGTGCCACTTGGTGTCTCATAGCACTGAAAATATTGGGGTATAACACTGAACTCATTAACCCTATAATCATTCACTGTAAAAGGGCCCAGGCATATGAGTAAAGCAGTGATTACATCTACCGTAATTTTAAGACAGTCTGAACCTCAAAGGTGCACTATGTAATTTTTCAGTAATGGGTCTGTCACCTTCTTGCTTCCATGGGTATGTCATTGCTCTACTTTGAATGTTCCACAACATGACATTAAAAAGATCTACCTTACAAGAGTTCAATTACAGGTCATTTTATTGCTTAAAATGCGTAGAAAAAGAAGCATTCTGACTGTGAGCAGTGTTGCCTCTTCACAGATCTGACCTGTAACTTGGTCTGGTTTGGTCACCACAATGACAGTAAGGTCTAATTCCATAATGTGAAACATTTCAGACAAAGCAATAGCATCTGCACAGAGAAAAGCAGACGACGGACCCTCCACCAGAAAAGTTGCACAATGCACTTTATCAATGATTTTCTTCTGTCTATGGCACTGATGCCCAAACTGGCACTTAATCAAGGCATTTTTGTAGCTAGCTAATTACTATCAGATACAGGGTCTTTGCCTATTGAAGCTACAAACCAACTTACGTCTTCCCAAAACTCAACTAAAGAAGAGGAGGATGAGGAGTAAGAATCCTGATGGTGAGGAGAATGAAGCAAAAAAAGGAACCAAAATAAAAGAAAGTCACATGAAAAGAAAACTTAAAAATAACAAATAGAAAGACATAAGAACAGACTGGAGGGGAACTCAAAATAAAAATGTAAAATATTACAGAACAGCTAATTAAGTGCTAAATACTTACATCAAACTGATCCAGGGCTGAGGTGGGAGCATTGAGAAAAGCCAGGAAGGAATTCTGGGAATCTTGGTGCTTGACGCCTTCAAACATGGAGAAGAAAAAAACTGAATAATGAAAGCGATCATCAAAGACATTAAAACAAGTCACAGGACGACCTCATATGACCTACTTTACAAAGCACTCAACTACACTGCACATGTTTAATGAGCTTATGTAATGTGAACTGGTTTAAATCCAACGCAACAGCAAGTGCACTTATATTAAAGGGCCTGGATACCTGGAGTTGTGTTTTGTTTCATTCACACATGTTTAACACACAAACCCTGCAGATTTATGCTGAGTTCTTCTATCAAACTGAAAACACCCTGTTCTAGGCAATAAAACAAGACTGAAAAGCTTAAAAAAATAGAATATTAAAAGGGAGGAAAAGGAAGGGTGGGAAAGCCAAAGAGGTACTTCTGAGAAAGTAGCACCAAAACAAGAATGCCTGTTTTTAACACTTCCCAAAAAGTTTATCCTACTTTAAACAAAATACATATCAGTAAAATATAATACAAGAAATGCTCCAAACTCCATACATCTTCACTAGTATCATTCAGATAATTTCAACCCTGGAATTGCTTATGTCTACTGAACTGAAGGTAAAAAGTAGATGTCAACATGAAAACTACAGCTTCATGACATCACAGGGTAGAACAGAGAATTTTGAGCTTTGGAGATGTAGACAGACAAATAATAACGGGTTACTCATACATGTGAATGAAACAAAACCCAATTCCACGTATGTTTTTGAGGAGGTAAGAACATTAGCTCACAAGAGTCAATTTTGTGTAATATAGGACTTTTAAATATGGTTATGTTAAAAATCCAGTAGGGCCTAGCACAAGTCCTTTCTTAAATATATAATCCCCTCCTACCTAGTACTGAGATTAAGGGTTTATCAAATTTACAAAAGAGCAACTTAAAAGATTTATTTACTACATTCATACCATACTCCATACAAATATTCAACAACTCACCCTTAAGTAATAGATAATCTTCTGTCATGTCAATCAATAATTAATCTTTGCACTGTTTCTTCTTGTATATAGCCAAGTTATATTTACTTTATTTTTATTTTCCCTGTGCATATGCAATACTTATGTCTTACATGATAGCAGTTTCTTGCTATTTTTGTGACTCATATGCATTTATTATTATTATTACTATTATTATATTTTCATATTTTTGTGCTTGGTCATTATATTTATTATGATCTGTGAGCTACTGAGTCCAAATAATTTCCATTGTGGATCAATAAAGTCAAAGTCTAAGTAGATTAATAACTGAAACAAATATTTGCTCAAATTTATTAGGCATAATTGGCTTTAACTTCTGACTGCCTGCAAATTCAAGTGGTGAAATAAACACAATTTCACTGATGGACTACTGTGGTTCAATTACTGTAGAAATATGTCCACCGCAATACCAAAATAAAGAAAGTTAAATTGCGTAGCCTTAAGGCGCTAATCACCAACTTAAATAAACCTCTTGTATGAGGCTTGTCAGGACTCACTGTACAGACTTGGTTGGTGGGCTTAGGCTTTAGCTTTAACCACAACCACAACTGTACAATTATAAATTAATATAGACATAAAGTGTAATTCCAGCCACACATTGATGCAGGAGTGTGTGATAAAATGTACTGCTCAATGACATAATGGTAGTATGATGAGTACCTCTGCGCAGCCGGAGCTCCTCTGTTTCCTTCTTCAGGCGATCGATTTCAGCCAAGAGCTCCTGATTCTTCGCCTCTACCTCCTGTAGTTTACTACGGAAAGAGGAACCAAAATAATTAAAACACTGTTACCAATTTTTCATGTAATAAAGTGAAAAGTTAAATCTCTTCTGTCCCAGTATTAAAACAAAAACAGCCCTTAGGAAGAAAATAAGATCACTGTGAGCTTCTGCATCTGATTCCGAAGCCTTTTTAATCAATTGTGAAGAGGCAAGTAACTGCTATGTTTATTACTATTATGAATTAAATTACTGAAATAATAATAATTCTAATAAAACAATGCCCTCACCATTCAGTGGAGATGTGGTTAGCCTTGCTCTTGTTCAGCTCATCCTGGATGCTCTGTTTGGCTCTGATCTCAGCGTCCAGGGCCGACTGCAGCTCCAAACGCGCTGACATGTCCAACTTAGCAAAACGACGCATCTTCCAAGGCATGTCCTAAACAAAAACAAGAAAATAATGTAATAAGTTAATAATACCTATAAGTAATAATAAGTTCAACTGTATGGGGTGAAAAATTTTGCACTGTTAGAGTAAACTGTTTTTTTTACCGTGGCCCGTGCTCCCAGACTGGTGTTCCTCAGTCCCTCCAGCTCCTCCGTCATCTTTGTGGCCAGAGCCTGAAGGTAACCGCGAGCATCCTTCTCATCACTCACCCTAAAAAAATAAAAATAAAAAATCAATCAATCAATAATTAGTCAAAGAAATTACTTATTTGGCCAACTACAGCTCAAATCTTTTACTACAAAAAATGTCCCACTAACGCAAAGAAAAAGTACCTATAATAAATACTGAGAGATATACATACAGCAATTCCAGCTATAATTTATTCTGAATTGTCAACTTTTAAATAATGTAAAATGGGTCCCAAGATATGAATTATTTGATCAACTAATATTTATGGATTTTTAAAAAAAGCCATACGTACCTTCACAAAATCATGCCCAGTAAACTCTGCATATATATGACTGACCACCAGGGGTCACTGTGCATCATGAAAACAGCAGTATCTGTACATTCCCCTCACCACGGATTCTCTGTATGGACCCCAGCCTCCTCCCTCCCTGTGTTTATGTGAGGTATGCGTGCTATGTGCAGACTGCAGCCTGGACGCACAGAGCTGTCAGCTGCACAGACAGGTCACTGCTCTCTCATCTTAACAGCCATGTGCCAAATGTCCCACTGCAAATTTACACCCCACACATTCATAGACAACATAACTGAAGAGTCTGACTGAGGGCTTGGCTGTGGAGACTTTTAGATCCTCAATTGATACTACACAGGGGATGTTCTCAAAGTATGAGTGTTAGCAGAATGTTCACTAGTTACCATAAAGACACAATGCACACATTAGCAAACACTGCCAAAAGGTTTTGCAGTCTGAAAACTCAAAATACTCAAATACAAAATGGATTTAAACAACACATATTTAGGAGCCAGTGAGCAGTACAAGTGTCCAGTTTAGTGTTAGATTTTCAACAAAAAAGGTGAGAGTGACTAAATGAAAAACTGTTGGCTAAGACTAGCTATCTTGTGACTGTAATGTTATGTAAGAGGAACTAGTTTAACAGCACAAATCCACACACCTGTTGTACTTGTAACTAAGATTACATTAAATTCAACTCAGATTAAAGTCTAACAAAGACATAACATGCTTACAGTTAGCATCACAACCCCAGAGAATGGTGTTGACCTCAGCTTCGAAGTATCAATAAATGCCAAGAGAATATATATTTATGATACGTTAAAATTTAATTATTTTTAATACCAATTTATTGCTAAGCTTGTTTTGGTCTCTGGGGTAAGCCAATGGGTACCCAAACAATCTCATCTCTTAACAGGAAAACTGCTTCATGGTTCAATCTGTATTATTAATATTTAAATATATTTTGACAGTTGCATGTAATTAATGGGTGTATTCATGTGAAACAAAAACTAGATTCTCTGCACCCTGTTCAAACTTGCATACACACTCAAATATTTAACTAATAATATTTTTAACAAGTTACATGAAGGGTAAAAGGAGTAGTAAAAATGGTTAGTTATCTCAGCAAAATTAACTTGACTCTTGAACAGCACCTGTACAGTGTTTATTTTATGACCCATCCAAGCACTCTATCCCCCATCTTATACATTACATTAGCTGTTGTTATATTATCCTTTTCCTGTGTCTTTTCTTCCAGATTCCAAGTCAGCATGATGTTGTATTGTAAATTGTTGTGATTATTTAAAGGCAGTTAAAATCTTACCATTGAATGATCTCAGTGATCTGTGCCTCCCAGTGTGCCACGCTCTCCTTCTTATCGGCCAGCTCCCTCATCTCGTCCTCCAGCTGACGGTTTGAGCTGTTCAGCTTCTCAAACATGGTCGTCAGCTGAAAACACAACAGGAGCAGGGATTGAGCAGAGAGCAGCAGACTGTGCAGTATTTTCTCATGAAAGTCAATAAAATAAATTGTAAAATAAAAATACATTACACTGATTTACAGTAACTTCCAGGTGACTAATCCTAACCTATATTTACCATTTTCCCTAGCCCTACCTTTAACCTATTTTTTTTTTTTTTTTTTTTGCTTGGGGGCCTGTCACCTGCTTGTTTATATGTCATCATCTGCCTGAAATGTTCCACAGTATGACATTAAACAACTCTACCTTACATTTATTAAATTACAGGATGCTTTCTTGTTCAAAAATACATACCAGTTTCTGGCTCCCTGATATGTGTGTGTATACATTTTAGCCCCCAGAATGTCATAAAAACTCGTCCACATATTTGACTATTTTGTACTGACTTTATGTATTGACAAATTATGCATTGATGAACAATGTTATCTTTATAAGTGCAGCACTTTGGAACCTGTTTTGTTTTATTTAGGATTTGAAATATATACATTTTGACAATTCAACACTGATAATAAACTTGGCCGAAAAAGTGATTAGTACAGATTTTACTGTCTAAAACCTACATGCTATTTAACTTAGAGACCTGACATGCTCAATGTGTACTTCAAAACAATGTTACTCAAGAAGTAGTAAAAACTCTGTAATAATAGAACAAATGGTGCGCACATCCTATTAAATACAATAAAATACATATAAACTCAGTCATAAAGCTGTCGTCAAAGGCATTAAGTCACTAATTGACCGTATACAAAGTGAACAGTGCTTTGTAAAGACTTCATGATTTCTTGGCACTGAGTCGAGTCTAGGCTGGACTGGGACCACTCCCTTTTCCCGCAGCCGTCAGAGGAGCTACACTGACATCACTACAAGTTCGAAGCTGCCCTTTTGTTGGAACAGAGTGTTTGTTTTGTGGGCACAGATCGCCCGTCTCCTCTGTCAGGACTCTGAGGTAATCTACAAGTCGGGACAGTCCCACAACAAGATTTAGCAACATCATGTGCTCCACAGCTATGGAACCAGGCGTGCTCTGAGGATTTTAAGTGTTTAAGCTCTGAACTGAAAGAAAAATAGACCTCACACAGCAATTGTATCATTTCACAATCTGAGAAATCACACTGTGCAGTACAAGCAGTACATAGTATTAATTAATTCATTCAGAACAGTGTGATTTGTAAATTTCTCACTGCCAGTATCACTTTGGAAAATTCTGTTTTCTTGTAAAGTAATGCCTGTAAAGGACTAAAATTATTATGTTTTATATTATAGTTAAATGAATATTAAACCAGATTAACATTAGGATTAATTTACCCAAACTTAAAAATAATATTCATTAACAAAAGACTAAACATAACTATAAACTCCAATTAAATCAAGAAATGTACCCAAAACACTTTAAGCTACCACTTTACAGTATCAGGGTGTACCAGTCTTTATAACCAAAAAGTACCTAAACCACAGTTTGAGAACAACACATTTGACTGGTAAACTAAACTACACTGTTATTTTATTATGTAATATTACGAGAGACCCAAAAACCCACTGAAACAAGCAATATGAATCCAATTACAACTACATCTGTCAACTGCACAATCCAAGACTGAGCCGCACAGTTCAAAGGCAAATCCAGGAAAACAATAATATTTTGAAGCTAAAAGAATAAGGATTTTGTCTTTGCGGCGGCCAGTATGCACAAAGATCTAATCAGCCATGAGAACTGCACATTTTAAAACAATATAAAGCTTAAAATGATGAATACAATAGTGTCATGTGCTTATCATTTATAGTACTATCAGATACATGCTTTCAGATCTAATCCCATATGTCTACATGCCTCCCACTTCTAAAACATTGCTGAAATTTGGGGTCTTTTTCCAACTTCTATTTCCAACATCAACACATCCCCTAATTCTTTCAGAGTGAGGAGGCAGTAATGGAGGATATTGAACAGTGATTTCTTTGGCATCACGCTTGGATGGATGGAGAGATGAAGAAGAGGAGGGGGGCGGAGGAATGCGATGAAGGAGCAGAGGCGGTGCATAGGGGTTACCTGGGGTTAGCGGTGAGGGGAGTGTGGAGAGACAGAGCGGGTTTCAACAAGATGGGGAGCACTCCTTTAACTAATGCAACTGGATAAGATATAATGCAGTCCCAAGTATGGAGGAGGTAACAATAGCCCATGGACTTCAGCATCGTTTGGCTTTGAGGCAGTGCTACTCCTGCACTATCTGAAAACCTTCCCTTTAAAACAGCGCTGTGTCAAAGTATGAGTCATGAGAGTTGGATACTAAATGTCAGGATTAACTGATTTTACAATTATTCATCATTATAAATGTCACGGTGGGATTATTATAAGAATTTCAAAAGATAAGGCTTATCTACACTCTATAGTACATTATAAGTCTGTCAACTGTGTTGGCAAAGAAAAAGGACTTAAAGGGTCCATGTTGCGCTATTTTCTTATTTTTCAGTCATCAAAACCTTGCATATTTAGGCTCATTTCAAACATAAAACACTTGTTCCCCCTTCACAAGGTGGAACAGAGCATTTTGACATTTATAAATATAAACAGACTAATAATAAAGATTACACAAACCTGTCTGAATGAAACAAAACAATTCCAGGTATGCTTTTGAGCAAGCAACATGATGGCTTAAAACTCACGAGAATCCAATTTGTGTAATCTAGGTCCTTACTAAAAGTTACATTAGCTGTTAAATATATACAAAACTTCATGTAATAGTTGTAGTTTAGCCACAGAATGTTCAACACAGATTATACAAAGATTTGTTGGCTCTATTTCAGACCCTTATCATAACTGCACAGTGTTGACAATATTGACTTCCTGCCCACTTTTTCCTTTAAACTGCGCTTTCTTTGTGGTGGCACTTGTGGTTACGCAAGAATCCCATTAATTTCAATGGAGAATTTGAGCTTTGCAGCTAAACTCTGACATAAAGTAGGTTTATTTATGTGACATGCTCAATGTTCAAGTGCAACAACAAGTCAACAATGCACTAATTCTCTGGAAGTTTTTAAAACAGTTTTGAAATCTTATTGTCAACGTCATTAGCCCATACAAAATAATGCAACCAGAATGACCATGGCGGCTCCCATGGCAACGTCCGAAATAAGATGAACAGGTGGTTACTTCATAGGTTTATCTTACTGTAAGGTCAAGTATACATTATTGTGAACATGTCCTCTTAATTTAACTTCTTTATTTAATATAATTATACTTGTATCCATGTGTTTTGTGATCTTACCTTATCTAGTTCACTGGACAGCTTCTTGTTTTCATCCATGAGTAGCACCCGCTCTCTCTCATATTTCTGCTTGTACTCTGTCTCAAACTCCTCTCGCTCGCATTGGCTAAAACAACAATGACAAACACAAAAACCCATTAGCAAAGTTAAATATATTAAATTGCTGTCATTTCATATTCAGCACAAATTTGTCACAATAAGCACTCATTGTATTGTGTAGCCAGAGCCTTCTCAGTTTTCCTAAAATACTTGCTGCTAAAACCAGGTAGACATTTTTGTAGTCCAAACATATTAATACAGAATCTGATACTGTTTGAAAATGAATTGGAAAGTTGTGCGAGTGACCGGGCAGGAAGGGTAGACCAGCGGGTACAAAAACAAATCTCTAAATCTTTCTACTCAAAAACAAGATTGTATTAAAATTTGATTAGCACAGCAGTCCAACAAAGTGGAATCCGGTGGTCTTAAGTACTTGGCGGGGGGTCCAGAGCAGAAAAATACGTGGTTTCACTTCTCGGTACTAAATCTCTAGAGTTTAAACACTGAAAAGGGGCACTAAAAAGGGTTGGGACTAAAGGGGGGTCTGCTACAGTGGAGGGGTGTAAGCTGTATGGTTTCCAACAAGCAGAAATATATGCCTTGGTTCATTAAGGCACTGCTTTGACTGCATAAAAGAAGTGGAAATTTGCCAAACATTTTACTTAAATTAGAATCACTGTTATAATTTCATAATATTCCAAAATTGGAAAAAAGCCATCCACACGATTGCTCAAGTTAAAGGTGCACTATGTAACTTTTAGGCTGGAGGTTCGTCACCTTCTGTTTCAAATGTTCCACAATATGACATTAAACTGATCTACCTTACATATATTCAGTTAAAGGTGGTTTTATTGCTCAAAAATACCAAGAAAAAAAAAAGGATTCTGATTTGAGATGGGTTGTCTCTCCACAGCTCTGACCTGCAACTTGGCCTAGTTTGGTCTCCATGATGATAGAACGTTTTAATGCCATATTGTGAATGCTTCAGATGAAGCAATAACATCTCCATGAAAAAAGCATTTGACCAACCCTCCACCAAAAATTGTGTAACAATGCACCTTTACAGCTGAAAATTAAGAATTCACTAATTGTATGTAACATCTGATGTGTTTTGGTATTTAAAGTAATATTATAGTATTATGAAATCAAAAGCTCTATATTTTGGGGTGGAGTAGAAATACATAGTGGCAGACTAATGAGCCATAAAAAGGGCAGGACCATCAGTACAAGTACATGCAGTCATAGAGATTGCCCATAGATTACTTTATGTAGGGCTGGGTGGAAACTGGATTGACTAAGTCTGGCTAGAAATTACAAAAAGAAAATTTAACTCTAAAACAAGACAATGGGGGACTATAACTGTCACGTTATTTACCTCTCAGATTCATCGCTGTAAAAAACAACAATAATGAGTTAGACCAAACCCACACTTAAATGGGCCCACTTCCACCAAAAGAATTTCTAAACTTTGCAAATAACACCAAAATTATCATGGTAAAAAAAAAAAAAAAACTTGCTGTATTACTCACTAGATGGCTCTCATTAAATCAATTGTATACATTGGATCTTAGTGTCTGATTACATAACACTGTACTTTAGTCTATTTATCTAGTTCAACAAACAGGTTTAAGGTGGTTTTTTTTTGTATATCCTGTGTGCTACTTTTTATTCTTGTACTTTGTGGTTGCAACAATGAAATTTCCCAGTTGTGTGACACTGACAAATATCTAAACGATAAACTATTCTGAATTTAGAATTGTCAGTTCAAAGGCGCCCTCTCTTATACCCTGCTAATACAAGTTTCTGCCAGACTTTGTGGTGCCAGTACTTAATCTGCTTGTCTATTAGTGACAAATGACTATTTTATTGTTTGATTTTCTAATTTTCTGTTGGTTAAATCAACAGTTTTACACGGTGACTGCTTTTGTGATTTTGGGGCTATACAAAACTGAATTGAAAAGGCTCCAACATATTTATTGCCTGATGTATGATAGTACCTCTCTCTTCTGGTCTTGTCCAGTTTGTCTTTGAGCATTAGGATCTCCTTCTGCAGAGCCAGGTGCTGACTCTCTGCATCTCTCAGCTCTTTCTTCAGGGCCTTGATCTCAGAGCTGTGCTGAGCTTCTCTGCGTGACAACTCCTCCTCGAAAAGCACAGTCTTCTTCTCCAGATCTCCACGGAGACGGCCCACCTCCTGAGATTGGTCAGCCGAAGGCGAGGTGACAGTGGGACCAGGCTGCTTCAACTGAGAGAGAGGAAAACAATGAAACAGCAGTTTAGAGTAAATTAATTTGGGCTCTGCACAATACATAAATTAAAAAATGGGTGTGCATTACCGACAAAAATGATCATCAATATTTTTTTTTTTGCATTATCTTGGACCATAAAATTTATCATAAAAATGCAAAAAACTATTTGAACTCTTATTTGAAAGATTACACTAAGCATTTCTGTTCATTTTATTTTAATAGTTTTACTAACAGAATATCAAGAGATCTCGCACCTCTATTCCACACATATTTCAGCAGTAACTTTGTGGAGACATCAAGATGAGAGTAATAGCTATGATTAATGCCAAGTTAGGATTTATGTATGTTTGATAGCACATACTTTGTTCCTGCTAATTAATATACTCACTTTGAGCCCCTCCAGCTCCTCCTCCAGCTGACGACTGTACTGCTCATTTCTCTCTCTCAGCTTTCGCTCTTTCTGGGCCTCTGCTGCTTGCTCCTCAGCCTGAGACTCCATCTAATCACAAACAAGCCAGTCAGTTATGCTCAAAAAAACACATTATTATAGAGAAGTGACACATCCATTTGGCCTTCAGGTTGACTATTTATTGCTGCCAATTTTCTAGTAGGAAGGATGGGGTTAGCTAAAGGTTATTGAGCTAACATAACAGTAGCAATCTCGGCTGACAGGATCAGATTACCTACATATAATTCAGGAAGGAACTACAGTTGGCAAAGGAAACATGTAAACACTACTGTTATATTTCAGAAGTGGGTAAATGCCAAAAACTGAGCTTGAGTGAGAGTACCATTAAGTAACTATTTTATTCAAGCAAGATTTATTTAGCCATTACATAACTATATTTTGGAAAAGGTTAATAAAATAAATTCAAATCATTACAATCCATCTCTGAACAAATAGTCCAAAAATATAATACAATAAAAAAAAAATTTTCCTCATTATTTTGAAATTTTTCAACTCATTAACTTTTCCATTAAAACGCTTCACTGTTTTTAGCATTATATGGGTATTATTTATTTACCATGTAGTTAACAATATGTGGTCCCTAAACTAAAGTGACTACATCTACATAGACCTTCTAACTACATTTCTACCCAAACACAACAGTAAAAAAGTGAATAGTGACTGACCGCAGAGAGGACAGAACAGGGAGCTCTATCAAACACAGGGCTCTACTCTACCTCCTTCTTTGCTCTCTCAGCCTTTCGCACCTCCAGCCTCAGAGCCTCCACCTTCTGAGTCTGACTCTCGATCTCCTCCTCTTTGTCTCTCAGCTGACGGGACAGGCGCTGCTTGGCTGACCTGAGGGAGGAGGTACAGGAGTGTGAAGATAGGGCTTTATTAAGGTCACTGCAAGAAATTTACAATATAGAACAATAAAGAGTATATAGTAAATGTACTCATATGTAATTGAAAACAGCTATGCATTGAAATGATCCAAGATCCAAGTAGAATCAAATCAAAACCTTAATGAAATATTTAATTTTTAAAAAAATTGAGAAAAAGAGAAAAAGAAAATGCCTTTAAAATTATGCTTTAAGATTGTATTAAAAAGTAAAAGATGATGAAAGGAAATGATGAGACTGAAAATAATATTAGCCAAGTATAGTGACTAAAGGTATTAAAAAAAAAAAAAAAAAAGCTTTGGAGCGTTGTTTTATGTTTGTTTTTTGTTTTTGTGTCATGTTTTATGTTTACTATTTTATTTGTTAAATGTTATTGCTTTGCTATGCTGTTATGGCTATTGTCTTTAACAAACAAAAAATAAATAAATATATAATAAAAACAACAACAATATTAACATTAACAAAATGGCTACATTTACTTTACACACTGATAGCAGAAATTGAATGTGACATTTAAATAATAAAAAGCTTTGTTATTCTTTTAACTGTAGAGAAATTCACATAAGGTTGCCTCTTGTGAAGTATAATATAATCAATAACAGTTATGCATTGACACTGTCCAGAAGACACAATTAAACTGATGAAATAAATTGTCTAAACATTAACAAAATAGAGAACAAAACAGGCTACACACAAGTAGCTACCATCACCTTTAATTGTGATGATATTGACAGTGGTTTTAGTTTGGTTTTATTTTATTTTGATAAAGTAGTTAGGTTCCGTGTTTGTACCTGAGGTCGGTCAGTTTCTCGTTGAGTTCAGAAAACTCCTTCAGGGCAACTTTCCTCTGAGTGTGCGCCTCCTTCAGCTCCTTCGACTGCAACTTCAGCTTCTCACTGGCGTCTATCAAGTCCTACCATTGTCACAAACAGTACATAAATAAACTACAACAACACATATATAGGGAAACTTAAAACTACATGTACAATTTTATATATACCGGTAATTACAATTCTCTTTCTGTTAATATACAAAAGGTTTAAAGGTGCACTGTGTTACTTTTCTGGTGGAGGGTCTGTCAGATGTTTTTTTTCCATGGAGATGCTTATGCTCTGTCTGGAATGTTTCACAGTATGGCATTAAATCTTTCTATCTTCATGGAGACCAAACCAGACCAAGTTACAGATAAAATCTGTGGAGAGGCAATCCCAAGTGTTTTTGAGCTATAAAACCACTTGTAATTGAATAAATATAAGGTCCACCTGTTTAAAGTCACACTATGGAATTTTTTAGACATATCCATAGAAACTAGCATTTGATGGTCCCCCAACCAAAAAAATGACATAGTGCACCTTTAAATTTGGGCAAAATATACACTCCGCAGGCATATGAATTATTACACACTATACAAAGTTTGTTATGTTGACAAATCTTCATATTTTATGTGTAAAGACAATACACAAGGTAATTCATTGCAGTTGACTCATATGAAAACAAAATCACACCAACTGCATCCATGTAGTACACTCATCATTACTTGCATAGGATTGTGCATGATCCTATTACATGTAAAATGCATCTGAACTAGTTTCTGAATGACTGGCCCAGTTTAATGCACAGTTTCATCATCAAACTCTGGTGCTTCGGGGAGCTCTGGGGGTTGTACCTTGTGGAGGTCATCCCGCTCCTGTGTCATGCTCCTCATCTGTTTCTCCAGAGTTTTGATGTGTTTGGATGAATCCTCCAAGTCTCTGCGCGCCAAAGTCACGTCCTCCAACTGCTTCTCCAGCTGACCTGAGTCTGGCACAAACACACAAGAAAATGTTTAGGAAATAATCATGGACAAATCTTTTTATTTATATTGAGCTATTCAAGACACATGTAGAAAGGGTAAACATGAAATAATAAGGAATCAAAAAAGGCAATATTTTAAATCATATTACTATAAACTCATTAGTGACAACAGTATGTATTCTCTAATCAATGTAATAAATATATAACATGTTTACATTTTACAAACAATATTACAATTTACATCATTATCTATGGTAAAAACATCTGCAAGTAACTTCTTACATTATGCAGCTAAAGCAAAAAAATATGGACATTTTCTAAATTAGAAAGATTGATTTCATATGTCTGAATTTATATGGTAATATTTTGGACTGAATGAAAATTGATAAAATGTTGTTGTTCATTTGTTGTTCTTCAATAACCGAAGTGATTTTGTGAAATTTTAAATTGCCTCTTTTCCTTTGAATAAGAAACAATAAAAATGATTTCTAACCTGCTATTTGCTTCTTGAGGATGTCGATCTCACTCTTCAGGCTCCTGATCTCCACTTCCTTGTTGAGGTTGATGGGACTCTCTCCAGATGGGTGCTGTAAGGCCTGTACCGCCTGAGTGGATTCTGCCCAGTAACAAGGGAAAATGAATAAACCTGTGAGCGATACTTTCAAAGAGAGTGCTGTGGTATTAAAGGGTCCATATTACTATATTGCATATTGATCTATGCAATAATGTAGTTTCCTCATCACAAACATACCTGGAGTTGTGCTTTGTTTCATTCAGACATGTTTTACACAAAACTCCTGGATATTTAGGCAGAGTTCTTCTCTTAAATTGAAAACACACTCTTCCAACTTGTAATGTCATGTGGTAATACAGGAAGTGCTCAACTGTGTTTTTAAATTCCATTCAAATTCACTTGAATCATTTGGATAATTTCAGCTTTGGAACTGCCAATTTCTACTGAACTAAAGACAAAAGGTAGCTGTTAGCTTGAAAAACATCAGCACAAGCTGGAACAGAGTATATTGAGCTTTGGAGATGTAAGCAAACTGATGATAAAGGATTACTCAAACATGTGCGAATGAAACAAAATACAACTCCAGGTATGTTTTTGAAACAGTAACAGCATTCAAACATGGCTTAAAGCTTACAAAAGTCAATTCTGCACAATATAGGACTTTTAAATATTATGTAAGGTGAATTCAGGTCTAGATATTAAACTCAAGGGCATTATTTTTATGAATCAGATATGCAAAAATATGTCTATAAATAGAAAATGAATGTGCCTATTGACTCCATAATGACCACGACACATTATGCAAATCCGACTCTATGTTATTACTGCGGTAAGAGTCTGACAATACAATACATCTCAAAAGCCACTTGTCTCCTAAAAACAATGAACCAATAAAACAAACATGCCCATAATTACAGGCTTAAAGCATGTCTGGCACACCCCTGAAACCATCAAACCAAGTTGTTGAGCTGATACATTTTTTGGTACAACTTTATAATAATTAGTCTTTAATTTGCCTTAATAAAGCATAAACAAAGACTTAAAGCTATCATGTGTTATTAGGTTGGCTGACCAGGCTAAGTTGTATTCTCACATACCACCACTAGATGTTATCTATGTTACTGCAGTCTGACAGTGTGCAGGAAAGGAGGAAATAATTAAGAATGCTCCATGCTTAGAAACTACTAAATAGGAATAGGGAACAGAAAGTGCTTCACTGTGTTTTTAAACTCCATACAACTTTACTAGAATGATTTGGATAATTTGTGCCCTGAAATTGCCAGTATTGAACTGAAGGAAAAAAGGTAGCTATTAACATGAAAGCTACTGCTTCATGACATCCATAGACAGTATAAAATGACATAGCATATTGAGCTTTTAGATTGGGACAGATTAATAATAAAGGATTACTCAAGCATATGTGAATCAAACAAAACACAACTTCTGATATTCTAACATGCCTAAAAAATTCAAGAGAGTCCATTTCAAACAATATAGGACCTTTAAAACTGTAATTATTTTTCTATCCCCTTTATCCCATCCTTCTCACCTTGTAGTTTGCGGCTGAGTTCTAGTTTTTCCTGCTCCAGTCGTCTGATCCTCCGCTCATAGGCCTCCACTGCCAAACTGTCCTCTAGGCCACGCTGCACCTCCAGGTCCACTTTATCATGACCCGCTTTACCTGGCTCCCCTGCCAACTGTCTCAGGCACCCCCGATCAGACAGAATACTGACGAATGAAAATAAGCAATACAAATATATATGTTAGTTTTGCATACAACTGAGCCATACAATGTTCAGAGGAGATGAGATGCTTTTTTTTTTCCTCAGAGTTATCCATGTAGAGTTGTAACTGTAATTTGAAGGGCATGAACCAGATTTTTTCATGACAAATATCTTATATAAGCAGTTCTTGAGGTCAAAATAAATCTGCTGCATACTGTCTGCATCCAGTTTCAAAGCATTTTTGTCCAATAATCAGGAAGTGTTTTCACTTTACCATCAAAACTCTGCACTATACTCTAAGCATTGTGAAAATTGCTGATAAACTCCTCAGTAACTCATAAAGTAATTGACATATAATTTTTGACTGTTTAAAAAGAACTAGTTCTGTCTTTCATGTTTTTAGACAGTAAAAATCAGGTACATCACCTAAGCAATTAAGTCTGAGAGACAATGACTGAAGAAAAAACAGTACAGAAAAGGTCTGGTGAAAGATAGAGAAAGTTGTTCCCAGGAAGTTGAGTCATGGAAGGCCGTAGTGGCAGACACAACAGAGAAGAGGTGGACAAACTGAAGAGCAAAGACACAGTGAGAAAAGTGGAAAAAGTGGAAAAGGGCCATTATCAGTCGACTGTGAAGAGATAAGAGACCAAGTGTTGGGTTTTTCTCACGGCTGGTGATTTAGTGTGAGATCTACAGCACCTTATTAGGGAGGAGAGCACTTTGTTTAAGAGACAGGGATGTGCCAAAGGAAGAGAGGAGTCTGGGAAAACCACCCATTACTAATACCCTAGGATGTACAGTATCTGTTTTTTGTTATTCTTTCATTTAAATGCAGATTTGCCCATTTTAATTGCAGAGATTTATGTTGATCTTCATACATATACAAATACAGCATATTAAGGCACTAAATTCCAGTTTTTAAGTTAGCATTCATGAGGTTCAGCATGTATTGAATTGTTAATTGCTATCTCTGGCAACAGCCTTAACTAATAATTCACCCATGGATAGGTGGGGTGCAACCTAGGCTAGTCCATTAAAACACACAATCAATAAAATTTTTCATTTATTTAAAGGCATGTAAAGGCTTACCATTTACTTGTGTAGGTAAATCCCACAAACGGAAGGTGGTGACCAGAGAAAGCAGTGTGTGATGGAGGAGGCATGGTTTCCTGAAAAAAAAAAAAAAGTATTAGCCAAAATTAACAGTCAAACGTTATAAAGAATCATAAAATAAGAAGATACACCAAAATAAAGAAAAAAAAAAGGCATAGAAAAAAATCTTTTGACAGTGAATGCAGATTAGAAAGACTATTAAAGTGATTAGATTCAATATCTGTTCTCAAATCTTGGTAACTGTAATTGAAATTTTAAGAAGGAAATGCTTCTATAAAATCGTACTGAGTTTTTGAGGCAGTCGTCGTCCACATCGAAGTTGGAGGTGTCTGTGGGGCTGCTGACTTCAGGGATGTAGGGGGCCTCACAGGTGAGGATGTTGTCCCAGTCAATGCCTGTAAAAAGCACATTTGTTAAATATGTAATAATTGTAATATTTAATATGTAATAATTAGAGTTTGCACCAGAGAAGAAGGGGTGCTGTTTGAAGTCCTCGATGCCGTTCTGTCCCAGTCTGTGCTCTCTGCTGCAGATGAGGCGCCGGATCAGATCTTTAGCATCTTCTGACACGTCTGTGACCTGCTGAGGAAACTGGAACCGCTCCTGAAATACAGTGTTTAGATTATAATTAGCTTTAACTTCTTTTTTCTAATAAAATTGTTGTGAAATACTAGAACTAAGCTGTCCAGAATTTGTTCACTATTTTCTTAAAGCCTTTTAGGATCCTGCAAAAACTAGGACTAACCCATATCAAAATCATCATGAAAAACAGATATACGAGTCAAAATTTTTTACTAAATGGACAGGCATTTTTTGCACTTGAGACAATGCATCTGGTTCATTCAATGTAATTTATATGTCCATATCAAATAAATAAAAAAAAAAAATCAACCCACATTCTTTCAGTGTGACTGGTACCACCAGACTCTCACCTTGTGGTTCATGATCTTCCCATAGGTCTCCACCAGACTTTCTGCATAGAAGGGCGTCTCTCCGTACAACATCTCGTACATACAGACCCCCAGAGACCACCAGTCACACTCGGGGCCGTACTTGCCCTTCCCGTCCTCCATAGCTTGAAGGATTTCTGGGGAGATGTAGTCTGGAGTCCCTACTGCAACTGAAGACTGGACCTAGATGGGAGAGAGAGAGAGAGAAGGGGGTTTATGTGACCTCCTAACATTCTACAGGCCTATAATGATTCACTGAGAGAGGGCCCAAAATGACTATTGCTTAAGCTGCTTTAAGGGTGCGGTTGGTTAAATAATGTAATAGAGAACACTAAAATAGCTTCAACAGTTGGAGTGGATTATAAAAAGGTCTCTTTATGGTTTTCAACTTTCTGTTTAGAGGTGACACTTCCACCACATGCTTGTCTCCACAGAGATATTATTACATCACATTCCACAGTATTGCACTAAACCATATCTACCTACATTGCATTTATCAAACTACCAGGCGTATTAACATTGCAAAGCAGATTTTAAAACATGCAGGCTTGAGTCTCCAAAGATCTAACCTATAACTTGGCCTAATGGCATCTCCATGAAGAAAAGCCGGTCGTGGACTCTCGACTAGAAAAGTTGCACAGTGCACCTTTAATTAGTTCTTAGAAGGTAATTTACAGCTAGATGCATAATTTACACACATTGTCATCCATAGCTGTGACCTACGCTCTAAGTAAAATTGTGATTTTTCGCCCACTTGCCCACCTCTGAACTACAGTAACACTTGTCACGCCTGCCCTGGATGTGAGCGAATGACCTCACCACATTCTCGACTCAGAAAAAACAATGCCTCGAAATATGTACCCCCATAGAAATCTCATTCATAACAGAGGAGCGCGGCCCGAGTGATAATGAACCCTTTGACGAGAAACAGCTGAGTTGTGGAAGTGTGGGAGATGGAAACGATCCCCCACAACAGCAGATAAACAAAGGCTGTATTGAGAGTTGGCCCCCTCTGCATGATCAATTCCCTCATGCACACACAGCTCAAGTGGTACTGTCTCTGCTACGATCAACTGGAGTGGTTTTGGAGATTTCTTCGGGGCAGATCATAAAATCAAATTAAATCTTCAGTTCAATGGGGCATTCATGAAGACAGAACAAACTCTACTGTTAGCAAAAAGAGGGAAAGTAAATCAAATATATTCATAGCCTCATTTAAGTTAGCCTTAATTATTATGTTCAAGGTGCACTATGTGGCTTTTTGTCTTCATGAAAATGTTAGTGTTTTGTCAGGAATGCTCCGCAGTATGGCATTACATTTATCTATCTTGAATTTATTTTATGTCAGGCTCATAAAAATATTTTAAAAACATGCATTTTTACTGTGAGCAGGAATCTCCTCTCCAAAAATCTGACTAGTAACTTGGCTTGGTGACATCTCCTTTTCACTGCCACGAAGAGAGATAAGTTTAATGCTATACAGTGGAAGATTCCGGTAAAAGAAATCAAATAATAGCCTTCGTCCAGCTAAGGCAGTCCTGATCAAGATCAAGATTTGGAGATAGGTCTTTTGTAGTAAACCCACATTGAAGGAGGGGTCACATATAGCGAGACATTCACTATACAGTTACCGTAAACTAGCTGGTCAACAAACATAAAACTAAATTATTATTTCTTATTATATTAAGAAACAAATTACCCTCAAAATTTTACACATCCCTTATTTTTATCATATCTTAAATTTTACTATTATTATGCAAGCTTTGTTCTATGTTGATGTCTTTCTGACTCTAAAATAGTTTTCTGAGAATTTTAAGGCTGAAGTACCAACTGACCCATTTCATGAAATAGCAGAAAAAAGCTTTAGTTCAGTTAGTTTGTTCCATTTATATCTGGAAAGTTGCTTAGTGTTGCTTTAGGATATGCATGTAAAAATAGATATAACCACTTTTCTTTTTCTGATCCTGGTGTACTATTATTGAACTACTGTTGCACTTTATGTAACCACTTGTATGGTTTTGTGCTAAGACTATTGTGTGAATCCTAAAAAGCACACAGGAAGGGTTGTGGGACGGCGGGGGAGCTGGGGGGGTTGAGGGGTCAGTGCAGTGCTGGTATGTTTGCCTTGGACTCTGGGATGCCTCTGCAGCAGTCTGTGGTCACACTCACCGTTCCATCCTCCATGAGTTTGAGGCAGGAGCCAAAGTCAGCCAGGCGGATGTGGCCGTTCATGTCCAGTAAGATGTTGTCTGGTTTAATGTCCCTGGAAAGAAAGAAAAGAGGAGAGACAAAAGCAATTAGTTAAAAGTAGTGAAATAACATCTTTAAAGGTGTATTGTGCAACTTTTCCGATGAAGCCGTCAAATAATTTTCTGCATAGAGCTGTTATCGCTTTGTCTAGAATGTTTCACAGTATGGTATTAAAGCGTATCTTCATGGAGACCAAACCAAACGAAGTTACAGGTCAAGTCTGTGGAGAGGCAACACCGCTCACAGTCAGAATGCCAGTTTTTCAAGGTATTTTTGAGCTATAAACCACTGTAAAAACACTGTAATTGACTACATGTGAAGAAGAGCTGTTTAATGTCATACTGTGGAACATTCCAGGCAGAGCAATGACATCTTGGATAATGACAAGCAGGAGATGAACCCTCAACCAAAAAATCATAGTGCACCTTTAATCTTCAAAACATATCAACTGGGATTGGGATTTTAAAGATACACTATGTAACTTCTTGGAAATTCCACTAGCTGCTTGTCTCCATGGAAATGATATTGCTTTACCTAGAATGTTCCATAGACTCACTTAGACTTAGACAAACTTTACTGAGCCACATGGGAAATTATTTGGACACAATAGCTCACACATCAAAATAAAAATAATAAAGTGCAAAAATGTAAATGGTAATAATACATTTTAATTAAGTAGAAAAAATAGCAAGATGTATGACAATAAAATTAAATATCTATTACTATATCCACTGAGTTCTACTGACTTTGAATTACTTTGTGTATATTTGTTATACAAATAAATTGGCCTTGCCTTGAGACAAGCCTTTGACATCAACCTTTTACAAGGTTCTTATCCAACAATAAAAAACATTACAGTTGAATAAAGGATAAAGTTCAATTCCATACAGTAGGAACATTCCAGGCAAAGCAATAATATCTGAATGGAGACAAGCAAAGTTACATATTGCACTCAAAAAGCACAAACTCCAACCAGTCCAGTGAACTTAATTTGAAATGCAAATCACAGCATGGACTGGCTAAGTACATATTAAACTTCCATTACTTGGTCCAGACTCCTAGTCAGTACATATAGCCAACACCAGTTACTATGGACAGGAGGCTGATTAGTTTTAGGGTAAGTGTTTTCTACATTGAGTCATAATCAGATAATGTGTATCCATGGAAACCTAATACCTTGACATTTTTAAACAAAAGTATCACTACTAGTGTAAGAAACTGCAAATGATTTCTAAAACACGCAATGTACAGTCTGATCCTTTAACTAAACAAACATCAAAATTAAAATACCAGGGGAAACAGAGCTGCCTGAACTTGCTTGTAAGTCTAGTCCTTAATAATTCACGTATATTTGTAGAGGAATTAAGTGCAATTTCCTTGTATTCATTTATCAGCTCAATGACAGGTGAAAACTGCCCAGAAACAGAACAAATATGGAGAAGTAGATGGATTGGAGCGTTGGGAATAGCTGCACAGAATGAAAATTATGCATGACGTGTGTTTAAAGTATCCATTTTCACTTGTGCAAAAACGGAGCCATGTTTTTGACTCACAAACTTGTTCCATTCGAAGAAAATATGCAACATATAAACAACCTCCCTATGTCTAAAATAGATCTTGGTCCCAACTCCCCCACACCCCTGTTTAAACTAATTTATTACTGAAGTGGATAGACAGGAGAGCTAGACACTACACTCTCTCTGATTGTGTTGGACCCTCTCGTCTTGAGGATTTCATCTGCTCCATATTACGGCAGCTTACGACTGTTTACAATGGGTTCGTGCTCATCTGACGTCACAGCATTCTGAAAGGGCCATAGAGTGATATTGGGATGGAAGGAAACTAAAAGTGTACAGTAGAAAGGGTTGCTTCTCAATATTCACAAAGCAGATGTTCTGGTGTGGTTTATGGTTAATATCGCTGTAATTGCTGGGTTTATCTGGAGGAAACAAAAACTGGCACAATGTTTGGGAGTGTGCAGATTCAATTAGGTTTGACTTCAGTGAAATCAGTAAAACGAATCAGTATGATAGCAGAGCGCAGACTAATTATACAACAGACATTTCAAATTGCTGTCTGAGCTGGATTTTAATCTGTGTTGTGCTTTTATTATTTTACAAGAAATTATCATTTTTTATTATTGCAAAGACCAAATAATGCAAAACTAAAACCCTGTCGCCTTCTGGTATGTTTGAGAGTTCTACGAGGGACAATTAATACTTCCAGTTGGATCCAAATCTAACCGTAAAATAATCATTACCTGTCGCACTTCAATGCTGTTACTTCCTCAAAAACATACTTCGAGTTGTGTTTTAATTCATTCAGCTGTTTGAGTAATCCTGCATTATTAGTCTGTCTACATCTCAAAAGGACAAAATGCTCTATTCCATCTTGTGATGTCATGTAGTAGTAACTTTCAAGTTAACAGCCAACTTTAGTTCAGTAGAAATTGGTAATTCCAGGACTGAACACAGTGGAGAACGTCCTGTTTTACCACATGACATCACAAGGTGTTTTCTGTTTGAGAGAAGACCTCAGCCTAAATATGCAGGGTTTGCATGTTAAATGTGTGAATGAAACAAAACTCCTGGTATGTTTTTGGAAAGGAAACAACATTGTAATATAGATCAGAAAACAGTGTAATATGGGCCCTTTAAATGTAGAATTGACATCATAGTTTATGTGTCGAAGTTTGGCAGTTGACATTGAACCTAAATTCTCCTGTTTACTTTACCCGTATCATAGCTGATATGGGTCATATTTGGGTACTACTTGTCCTTAGTTACTAAGTGAGTGTAAGTTTATTTTCTAAACATTACTAGATACTGGCTGTATGAATCGCACATTCATTGCAGTTTTCAGACTCGCCCAAATCCAAAACTTGCGGCTCAGTGAAAGACCCCCTGACCCTGTATCATTTGTGCACTGGTATGAAACAGACTGTATGGCACTGTTAAGGGTCCAAATATAGAATGTCCCAGTCTGACCACAGCAGTGATTTCCCCAGAGGGCGATATGTGTCGGACCTCGTGTCTGAGCCCCCTTTATCAACACAGGGACACTCCCATAGTCAAACATACACAAACATCACATGCCAAATATCTCAGACCCAGTACAAATCCTACACTGAATCAATAAATCAGCAGACAATGGCAGTCACAGGTTTGGAAACAGAGCCGTTGCTATTTCGGTCTTGTGATGTGGGCTTAAAATAAACCTGCGTTGCCAAGTCACAGCACACACATTAGCAGCTTTCAGTGCCAGCGATGCCAGTGTTAATCCTCACATTGAGTCGTTAGGCGCAAGATCATGAAATGTTCTCACCTTAAGCACATCTCGTGATGGCACTTATTCAAATGAGTTTATTACTACAGTGAAGGGAAGGTGCAATCTCTGTCTATTCTTGTCATGGTCTACAGCTATCTATATTAGACAAACCAGATTCATTACAAATGTTAATGAAATAATAAAAAATTCAAGACATATTCAAAAGTGGCTCTGGGGATAAGAAGTAACATAAGTATAGGTACATCCTCTAACCTTTAACCATAGAGCAGTTGACAATGATAAATTTACCAACTCTGCTTTTGTTAATTTAGTAAATCAACTCATGTGGAACAGTGGGCAACAACACTGAATTCCCATGTCCATAATTTCTGTCAGATCTTGGTTAGGAGCACAGAGCTGGAGGGCTACCATGTTGTGTCTGCAAGAGGAGGCTAATGGGGAAAACAGGGGCACTTTGAGGAAACCATCACACTCACACACAGAGAGGCCCCATTCGCTCCGGGAGCCACAGAACCACATCATTAAACAGCTGTTGATTAGATTAATAGATCTGACCTTGAAACAGCCCTGCACTTCCTGATAGACAAGAATCAATACGACACAGTCTGGCATAGCAATCAATCTGTACATTTAAACCAATAAAAGTTGAAAAACGCAGATATAGTTCTCCTCAAACTCTTCTTTAAAGAGATGAAACGCACAGGCCCAAGTCTGGTCGGGGGAGATGGTTCTTGAGAGACACATAAAGCAGCTTGAAAGGGAACTTTGATGTCCCTGTCTTCTGCTGTAGGCCTTCAAAGCAAGCTGTGAAGACCCCTGTTATTTTCCAGTAGCGTTAATAGTACCATCTAATAAGCCACAAGCGCGGGGTGGGCCAGAGGAGCTGCTAACTCTTTAACCTTTTGCACAGCTGCTAACAGATGTGGCTAATATACGGATAGTGTTTAATGCATAAAAGCTTCACTGATATATTAGAGCTCTATATTTAGCGCTAGAATTCATAGAAAGAATTGGTTCCATATGGATACTAAGCAGAAGCATGACGCATGGTTAAATTTAGTAACATTTTAGAGTAAATTATTCTTCAAAGTGTAGTTTTATCACACTGTAAATTAGATTGCACTTGCTTTAGTAATAATACACTTCAGTGAGCAGAATTAGTTGTGCTAAGCAGCTATGTCGTAACTTACATCCATAACGCCATTGTTTTAAGCTCAAATAGGCTATTTAAAATGCAAGATTCAGCTAAATGTTTTAATAACTTGGAGATTTATTACATTTCAGAAAGATTTTTCAAGCTTAAATAAGGGGAAAAAATGAAATGAAATGTACATTAAGTGCATGTTACGTGTATAATTCTTGTGTTCATGAATATGCTTGAAATAAATAAATGAGTTGAATGAAAATGAAGGTTCAAAATTATATAAAAAATTTGTGGGGGTTTTGTTGTGGTGCCTTGATGGAATTGATTTAAAATATAACCATTTCAATATTAGATTATATGATTACAGTCAACACAATGAACTTACTCAATATTTTTAAATGAATTCCATATTGACAATTTTAAGCCCAGTAATTGTACAATCATGCATGAAAACATAAGGGCAGCTACATAAACAAGAACCAAAAACACTTCAAAGCTCATTATAAAGATATGTACTTGGACAAGATAATATGGGGCTTGGTATAATCACTGAAAATGTATGGGATGTGACCTTAAGAGAC